CAGTTTTTCTGACGGATCCATGGCGGCAAGCCACTAGAAAAAACTGAAACCGGCAAAAACGATGCGCAGCATGCCGATCCTCCATCATCGTCCTCCATCACCGGGAACATCTTGGACGCCGTGGGATCGAATCAGAACTGACGGGCGGAAATTATGATGCCAATCCTCATGAGTTTATACGGGGAACGCGGCTACCCCGTACCGCCTGGTTACGGCCAAGAGCCTGTAGGGGATTTTCTCCTTCCTCCCTTTTTTTTTTCTTTTTTTTTCTTTCTCTCTCCACCTGTCCCTCCCTCCTCCTCCACCCATCCACCAGCGAGATACGGTACCGTGCAGCGCATCACCAGGATGAGTAGGTGCAGGGAACATCTGCAAAGGAGGCAGTACAAATCCTTGTAGGTATACTCAGAGTTGTGATCCCATTCGACGACGAAGAGTCAAAAATGTCGAAACCCGAGCAATGATACCACAGGTCGGACCCGAGAGGATGGGAAAGTCGCCCTCCCCCTTGGGAGGATGAAAAATGCCCGACGACGGTCGGCGGAAGCAAGACCGAATATTCTTTCTCGGAGTTGATTTCTCCACGCCCTCTGGTTGACGAAGGCGGGCAAGCCCAGCAAGCCCAAACGTACAAGAGACAAAAAGACCAAAGAGAAAAAAATACGCCCCCCCCAAGCCCCAAGCCCCAGGGCCCAAAGATCCCCTTGCTGGCCGTTTCCACCGCCAGATTATCTTCCGGGAAAGTATCGGCGGCGGGCGACTCCATTCTTTTTGCTGATGACGGCCGAGCACGTCATGAGCCGCCCTGATTGGACGTACCGAGCACCGGTCAAAGGTACTGAACCTTCGGAGCACAGAAGGTAGTGAACAGTCAGCATCTTGGTGACTCTGGGCAGGTGGTTGATCCTCCCTACGTCATTTGTTTTCGTCCCTCGCCAACGATCGGTTCTCGCGCGACTGCCAGATCGCCAGGGAATGGGAGGGATAATTAATTAATTAAGAAAGAATAGTAATAATCAAAAAACATAAAACATAAAATTCTAAACCTGCAGCAAGGCGGCAATATGAGCAATGTGTCACAAGAAGTACGGGAGTCCTTCTCATTGATCCTCAGCCTTTGGTTTGTTTTGGCGACTTTTCTTTCTTACCGTCAAGACTTCCCAGGTCAGCCCCTGGACAGAGACACTGGTGGCGAGATATGCATAGGCGCTCACGGGTGTTGCCTTTTTTTTTTTTTTTTTTTTTTTCCCATACCGATTCATTATTATTATTGTTATTATTACGGATCAACTGTCAACACGAGGGTTGCAAATCAGGCCAACCCTGGGACCAGCAAGCTTGCCCAAAAAATAAAACCAAAGCCTTCGGCCGGCCGAGCGTTGAGTAAGTGAACACTGAACAGCCGACAGCCAGTTGCGAGCGTTCCTCGATCCCCGCATGCTGGGTCGCATGCATTATTCCTCCTCCACCGAGAGGGGGGCTTGTGACCTGAGCTGCGGTTGAGTTTGGCCTTTCTCAGACTGACAGTTGTCAAGCGCTGGCACGAATTCTATTCACAGAGATGGAGTCCACGGTACACGGTAGGGAGAGGAAACAGAGGAAACGAAGATCAGGTAAAACCGTAGGAGTTTGACACCTCAGGCGTGGGTACTTGCCCGTCCATATGACTGCTTATGGGGCTTCAGGTACCCATGGAGTGCCTTGTTCGGTGCCCAGATGAAAGCGCGTGACTCTTCTGCCCGGCTTCCATGGATTGAGGAACTTTCCCATCTCTGATCTCTGATATCCTTCCCAGATCAGCCCATCCGGAGGTTTCTACTTTCCCCTTTCTATCTACTACGGTGTCCTCCTTCTTCCCCTGCCAACTGCCTCTTTTCTAGAACTGTCAGCGAGATGCACCCTCCAGATCATCCTCATAACTCCCGAATCCTTTGACGGATGACGATGAAACACCGCCGATCCTCTTCCTCTTACTTGTTTTCAACCAAAAAAATCATCTTTTCCCACCAGAATATCATATCTTCATTTGACTTTCTTTCTTTATTTTAATTGTCCATATTCCTTCCTTTCTCGTCCCATGTATGCTCCGTGCTCTGAGAAATCGAAAGCTAGTTTGATCGCTACCAGCGTAACGCAGCCGATCGCTTGATTTTCTTTCGTTCATAAGGAAGAGGCCCAAGCCCCCGTCTTTGCCCCCCTCCCCCCTTATCCTACAGATCCATACCCAATTATTTCAGAGATAACACGGCGACGGCAGAGCAGAGCGCCTAGCAAAACACAACAGGAGAGCAATGAGGTGGATGCGCATTGCATCATGATCGTGATCGTGATACCTCACCACCTAATCCCATGGCCAACAAAACTCAAGCACCGCAACCAAATCATGCCGCCCATCCGTCTGCCGTCTGCCCAGTGCCCACCGACAATCATCCCATCCATCCATTTATTGAATGAAATCCGTCAATCAATAATCGTTCCTAATATTAAATCTGCAAATCCGACGGACCGTCACGTCCACCCCGTCAGACTGACTAATTAGTAACTAATCAGTCCTCAGTAAATCTTCCACCCCCTGGATATTATCGACCCTGACTTATTATCCTCATCTGCTATCGCGTCAAGGGCGCGCGCTCGCCCCGATAAGCGAACCAAAAAAAAAAAAAAAAAATCATAAGCCTCTCCGGGAGGATGAACAATCTGGAAAATAACTCCACACCCGTTAAGTTGCATGTGGCTTTCAGCACGGTCATCCTTGGCGAGCGATTCGAATCCCAGCCCCCGGCTGCTGGCTGCTGGCTTGTGTAACCTTTTCTTCTCTTTCTCCCCTTTCGTTCTGACTTCCTTTATTCCTTTCGATCCTTTTCCATTCCTACCGATTCCTACGAACGGGATCTTTAAAATTAACCCTGCTTGCTGTAAAGCTAAACTCCAACGAGTATCAGGCAGGAATGAATGGCTTGTTTCCGCGCCGGCCAATTTAGACGTTTGCAATCCTGAGGACTTGGAGTGAGGACACGCAGACCCTACCGGGGTACTTTTAGTCGTTCACACGTTTACTGCCCATGTTGCTAATGTCCAGGAAGGCCACTCGTCGAACCGAACCACCGTAGGATGACGGGCTTACTTTTCCAACTAGTAGTATTAATTTCCAATCAGCCGGGTCGTCGGTCGTTCATATGATTAGTTAGTAATTCAATGATATTAGTTCTACTGAGTAACTCACCCTTCAAATTAACCACCATTAACCCTACACCTACATCCTGAGACTAAGCTACAGAGTGGTTGATCAATGATCACGTCGTCAGGATTCTCATACATCACCACGGAGTAGATACAACATGGGGGATATTTTCCCCCACCCATCCACACTACCTACTCGATTCTCGCTCGTTGCGCGTCGTGCTTACTTGCCTTTTTCTCTATCTATGTCTACCTACTACATGTTTTATAGATTCAAGGTTATCCCTAGCGCTAGACAGTCCGCAGTCCACAGTGGTTATCAACTAACCACGGAGTATTGTGAACGGAGTCAATCAGGACCCTGAGTCCTCGGAGAATCGATCATCATCTGCCTTATGCCTGACTGATCTGGTTTGTAGACTGTAGACTAGGTGCATTCGGTGGCTTAGGTCGGCAGTGGCGGGTCATGAGTTACTGGCCTTAGGGAATGCATGTATCTAGGTATGCTATGTACATGTACGAAGCACTTAGGTTGGCTTTTACCCATGTAGCGTGTAGTATGTACCCTACGGAGAAGGTGTTCATCTGATTTCATCCCTCCCCTCCTCGAGGCTAAGTATCTCTCCTTCAGGTATAAACCCAACAGAATACTGTTTCCAACACATGAAACTCACATTCACATTCCCATTCCCACAAAGACCAAGGCAATCAGAAACATCAACATCAACAAAAATAGGTAGCCTACACCCCTTGACACAACAAACCCAAACACAAACACAACCCCACTCCACCCCCAACCTAATACTGGCACGGATAACTACTCTAGGTAAGTAAGTACATACATAGTGAATAGGTAGGTTCAAAGAGCTGGGGACTCGTCCTTGCATCGGAAGTGAATTCCGCATCCGAGGGCCTGCAAATCGCCGATCCGATCGTATGTACTGTACACCTACGTAGGTTGTAAGTAGGTAGGGTCCTTCTCACTAACCAAGGGTTGATTTCGTAGATACATACATGCGTTTGTCGCCACTGAATCGGTAACCAACTACAATAACTAGGTAGGGTGGATAGGGACAGTTGGAATTACATAGCTCTATATACTACTTTCTCATTATATCCATGTGTACATGTATGACCGTCCATAGAGAGATAAATGTTCTGTTCTTCGGATGTAATGGAGAATGGATGTAACTGTTATATCCAATGAGATCCAATTCAATCGAATCCAGTGCGCTGTAGTGGCAGTGGCAGTACAGTTGGAAGTGGGAGTGGGAGTGGGCCAGCAATGCCCATCTGATGTGTATAGTTTTCGATAGAGAGACCACCTTGTATTTCCTATTTGGGATCTGCCGGGATGGATCGGGATGGATCGTGATTGTTGACGCAATCATGGCAGTGCTTATTTCTTAGCTGGATTATTAGTTCCCTTTATGATGATGTAGGTGGTTGAAACAGTGATGCTTTTTACTTTAATGTGGCTGGTGGATGGGATGGGAATAGGGTTTGGTTCATTGTCTGCATATTGCTGGACCTGCAAGCCGCATGGATCGAGGACGGAAATGGCAAAATAAGGAGATATGACGTTTACTTTGCTATTCAGAACAAGTCGCACGATGCAGCTGCTTGACCATCTATTCGATTCTATCGTGTGCGTGTTATCTGCAATGGCGCCGGTCTTCTTGCCCAATCTAAAGATATCTATAAATATACCCCTTCCAAAACTCCCGGTTCGTATAAAAGAATAATGCCACCTAATCATAAAGATACCTCTTCAAAATGTTATATATACAACACAACAGTCATGATCATCCGATATTGAATCAAAGTTCAATTCCAGACAAGAGAGGAAAGCTCTGCCATTGATACAACGCCCGAAGTACCGCTACTCCGCCGGACTGCGTTTCTACCGTACGGCCGCGGCCTCGATCATTGGGATCCCTTGGTTGCATGTTTGTGATATCCGACGACTCGGTCAACGGTGTTTGTTCAGTCATACCGGGTGGTTCATTGGGACCGCTTGATGATCGACCGTAGAAGAGCACTGAGCCTTCTGCATGGTCGCCGTTATTCCGATAGTCGACCACTCCTTCGGGCAGAGGACTTTCGTAAGTCAAGGCGTTCACGGACTCCCCATATGGCCTGCCCCACCAAGTTCCAAACTTGCCGTCGGGATTTCGAGTTACGAGAGCAGCCTTCGCATTATGTTTGATCCAAGGCCCATAGGTCTGGCAGCGTGCTTGGTGCCACAGGTATGTTATGTGCCAGTCGCTCTCTTCTGTGGTCGTTCGGTTGGCACTAGCCAAGAAGCGCCACTCCTGCGGCCGAATCGGTCGGCAGAACTCCGCTAGATGGTGGAAGAAGATTCCCTTGAACGTTTGTCCATCTTGGGAGCAGTTGCCGGACGAATCACATGAATCCTCCAGGACACCTCCCCGGCCAAGACCGTTCCACTCCATGCTGGATCTATTAGGCCATCCCGTGGCTCGAAGAACTTTGCGAACCAGTCCATGTCCGTCGTCCAGATACTGCGGCGACCCAGTGGCCAGCCATAGGCCGCGGAGCCCGCTGAGAACCACGCCTTGGTTGTATGTATACACCATCGTGTTGAGTTCATCGCAATTGCGTGTGCCGGGATGCTCGCTGTCCCTGTAACCGCTGACGTGGAATCCATCTGCGTAGAGCCCAGCGGGCCCTGTCATATTGGAACTATTGAGCCATTTGTATCCATTAATGGCAGCCTGCAGATGAGCAGAATCGTGAGGGTATCCATCAGACCAGACTCCATCATCTTGGGTTTCCGTCATGAAGGGCGAGTCAATGGGATCGCCGGGGAAGTATAGATACATCCCGATGCTGGCAGAGATATACAATTCATTGGTGATGGCGTTCTTGTAAGGGGTCAAATATGGGCTCCAAATCATTCCACCTCCGCAGAGAGAGACATCCCACCCGGCAGATGCAAGGCCATAGAATAGCCGCGACCGATGGGCTGCTGGGATTTGATATTGAAGCCCATGCCAGCGGGGCTTATCCTTGGGGTGAGAGTTCGAGCTCGAGAATCCCCGGTAGTGCAGATCCGAGTGTAATTGCTGTAACTTGATGCTTTCCAACCATTCTAAAACTAGCCACAGCATGTCGTCGAAGGCTTGCGTTCTCACAGCAAACTCATCTTCGCCGAAGTAAAAGGCCGTTGTATGATCGAAGAAGTGATTGACAAGGTTCTCAAAAGCCTGACCGTGCCGGTCAATTGTCGGCGTGTTTATAACGTCTATGTTCATATCCACAGGTATGTTCGATGGCAAGAGGTATTCGATGGCGGAGGTTAGCGACGAGAGTGTGCCCGAGACATGCGTACCCATGACCGCAGCGGTCCAGTCGATAGCCGTTGGCCACTTTCCCTGCCATAATTCGAAGTAATCATCTTGCATATCATTCAAAGCCTTCACTAGATCCCGCTGCGTGTGGTGCGCCGAATTGGATGTCTCAAGCGGCGAGACCGGGAATTCAAGGAAGGGGGACTCTGGTGGCTCGGTTGTCTCGTCGAGGGGGGTTTCTCCATGCGCATATAAGGGCGCAAGGATACCCTGCGACCGCAGCGCCAGCGCATTGGCCGAAGGGATGATAAGATATATGCAGAGCACGCTCACTGTATATCGTAGGAGCGCCATCTTCAGAGTATATTTCTTTCGGTCTTTATAAGTTTTTTTGTATTTCTGGGGAGTGATTGTTGGAGTCCGACCCGATAAGAAATGGTCCTTGGAGACCCCCCGCGGAGTTAAGAATAGTATTTAGGGAGAAAGAGGGAGAGAACGAATGAAGGACGCGAGTTCAAATACATCCGGCGTCCAATGGAGGGCAAAGCAATAAATAATATTTCATATCCAGCGGTGCAATGCTGCCCTGCCACTGGCGCGGAGGTTGAGGGCAAGAAAGAAAGAAAAGAAGGCAGGGAAGGATGATCAGTTGGAGTTAATTAAATGGTGCGGGGAGCGGTTTCTTGGTTCGGAAGCGGCACGGGGAACGTCAATGACACCACCGACTTAATTCACTAGCCCGACTATGATGGGTATGATTTCACATTATAGTAATTAACGAGAGCAGGGACAAGACCTCTGATCAGTCGCAATGATCAATACTCGATGCCCGCGTGGACTTGAATCGATATCTATTTGCGACTCGCGCAACGACATCACGCGCCCTCGAGTCCATCAGATTCTAAATGACTGCTACGATGGTCGGATGATCACCTAGGGTACAGTTCAAGGGATATTTCCCGTATCACAAAGGCCAAGACAGTGACAGGGGAGAGGTATCCGACATTCAATGTGCAAGTAAGAAGACGTTTAGTTGTGGCTGTTATGCTTTGCAACTTGCCTAAGCCGTGAGGTCGAGAACAAGGAGTGAAGCCCAAGTTCGGAGTCGTGGGAATATATATAAATTTGAGTTCTGTCATAATCAAGAGAAATGAGCTTATTACCAGCAGAGTGTATTAATATCTAGTAGTTCGTTATATCAAGGATCCTGAATCTTTCCGACGGATCAGCATATGACCAACGACATTCCCATGCTGTAAAAAAAAATGCAAGGGACATACCGAATTGTGAATAAATCATGACGCCGACATGCCACTCTTTGAAAGGTAGTCTTGCACATGCGCGTCATCAGATGATGGTCGTGCATACAACCCTTCACAAGAGATGGGAATGCCGGCTGTAAGCGCAATCATCCCTACTCGTCATCCACCAAAGGCAACGTCGGAATGACAGCGTCAAATTCTTCATAACCACTGTCCTCGAGCCATTTCGCAAGGGTGAAAACCGACATAAGACCGCTAGGAGTAGAAAAAACGAAGAGATAATAGGTAACAAAAAAAAAAGCAGTTCATCAAAAGGCCATGCGCAGTCAGAAGAGAGATTGAGGAAAATGCATCGGAGCAAATGTGTCTATTCCCTCTCATTGTCAGCTCCGGGGCTGCGGCTTCTCTCGCGGCTCCTGCTGCGGCCTCGACCACCACCACCTCCACGTCCCCCTCGCTGTCCGCCGGATTTGCCTTTGTTGGCGGGAGGCGGTCGGACAAAAGCGTAGTCAACCTGGATTGTTTGATCGAGCAATTTGGATCCGTTGAGGTTTTTGATGGCTTCCGATGCCTCGGGAAGAGTCGAGTATTCGATCAATGCGTATCCCTGGTATTCCATGAGATTAGCATAATTCGTAATTGATCGAAAGATGCTAAAAGGAAACAGAGCATCGAGTAACAAGAGAAAGAAGAGGAGAAAGATGCAATTGATTGAACGAGAGTGAAAAAAGATCAAGTCAACTCACCTTGACATAACCCGTCCGGCGATCAAGGTTCAAATTGAAGTTTTTGATTTCGCCATATTCAGCAAACAGATCCGTCACGTCTTCCTCGGATGCCTCCTCGTGGATGTTGGTGGCGATCACAATCCATCCCTCGATACTGCGCACAGCGACGGCTTCGGCGTGTGTTCGTGGTTCAAAACCTCCAGATTGCGCGGGGGCGTCGTCGTCTTGCGAGACGGGGACGTCGACTTCCATTTCGGGTTCGGCAGACATGGCGACGATTGCAAAGGAGAAAAGCAGGTAAAGGTAGAGGCGAAAGACCGTAGGGGTAAAGAGGAAAGACGAGGAGCTTGTCTATTGGAAAGGTTTGTTCCAGTTGGACTCGATCGCGAGCGGATCGGCGGCCGCGAAGCTTGCGGCGTGCTTATGTAATCTGTAGTACTGCAGGCCGGATTTACATTTATAAAACCTCACAAGTGCAACAATTAGGAAATATACGCTTTTATTATTGAGCTGAGTCTAAACTACTTGGCCATTTGAGGCAAAATTAGAGCAGCCATCTCCTCATATACTGAGAATACAATGCCGCCACTCAACAGCAGCCGCCCTAATCGCATGGTGCTGCCTTTCCAGAAGCCTTGGACTCCATAGTCTCGAACTACACTCCGGGCGGCCTCTGCAATGCTCGCTCCCTGAACTCCCTGGGCTCGAGTCTTGATCGTGTCAAATGGTTGAGTGGCATAGACTGTCACGACCCCTGCCAGTGCCCCCATGCTAAAGTTTGTGAACACGCTCGGCACAATCCCTTGGGATTTGGTAACTTCCTTGAGGATATTATATGACCCCATCCGTACTGCAGACGTCGCGGATTGCTTGATGGTGGTAGACACGAGGCCACGATACAGCTCGCGGGGGCCGTGGTCTTGGATCAACACGGCCACTGCGTGCCTGCTGGACCTGAACCGTCGAGCACCTTTGGCATCATCGATTCTGCAAACATGGTTGGCGATCAGCATCCCTTCATAACTCCAAGGAGTAGTTTACCCACAATGCGGTTTTGACTCTTTCTGTTGGTGTGACCGCCAGTACGCTCTCTACGGCCCCAGCGACCATTCCGGCCAGGATGCCCCGTCCGGCAGACAACGTGCCTCGATCATCAGCCAAGGAATTACGAATGGTGTCGTATGATAAGAAGCGCACTGCTGCCTTGGCGGTTGTTCCCTGAATAATTTGCGCCGTGTTAACCATGTCACACTAAGTAGTTGCAGCGAAGCAGAAACCGACAATGATAAGCGTGGAGCATCCGATATAGAGCGCTCCTATCCCATCCTGTCGAGCGACCTGGAGGATGAGTCGTAAGGGATTCGACGGAGCAACCGCCGTGCCTTGTTGTAGAAGCTGGACGCGGGTCTTGGAATATTCGAAGGGATACTAAGGTTGCTATTAGTCTTAATCACGATGTTCAGATTCAGCATTAAACCCTACCGTCACTGCTGCTTCCACGCCCCCTGCCACACCTCCTGCCACTAAAGAGACCCACTGCGGAGTGTGTTGCTGGGATTTATTGTTCGTTAACATCGTTCCAATCAGAAGGATTCATCGAGGATCTTTAATTACCCGTTGTTTTGGTGGCTTTGTTTCGACCAAGTCCGAGCGAATGGAAGAACGTGCTGTCATACTTGCCAATGGTCACGTATTATTTGCTTGCAGCTTGCGAATGACAGCGAGATCCTTTCGTTTGACCCCACAAGTACTTATAAGCTTGGGTAGGCAGCTGCATGGTACATACATACTACCTACTATGTAGTACAGCCGAGCGGAACGAAAGTTGCCGCGGAGAAAACAACCCCGGCCAAACCCCGCCCCCCACGGATATTGATCCTCCGAGACTTCACACAACTTTCATCCATGGAAAGTACGGCATCATTGAGAAGCCGCAGGGCAGCTAAGGCGTGTGCCTTTTGTCGCCGAAGGAAGGTTAGTGGACTGTGAACGGGATTCCAGGTCTCTTGCTGACTGAACGCATGCAGCTGCGTTGCGATAATGAGAAGCCCACCTGCTCTAGCTGCAAGGGCCACGGAGAAAAATGCGTCTACTTAGCGCGTCCTGAAAAGCCAAGGTTTGACATCTTCCGTAGTTAGAAGCCCAGATCTGCAGACTTACATATAGTAAAGGCCGTCCAAAGCACAGATCTCTCGCCTCGTAGCGGAGAATCAGCAATTACAACAACGACTCGCCACCATCGAAGCTCAAACGCAGTATGAGAGTGAGTCCGCGGAGTCTAGTTTCAATCAACAGCGGCTTGAAACGCAAGACTCGTCCCTGGGAAGCATCCAGAGTCGATCGACGATCGATGAACAGGGGGCGAGCGTTGTGGGTCGTCGACCTGCAGTATCGCGCATATTCATCTCTCCCAATGGAGACTCGAGCTATCATGGGCTCACGAGCACTTTATTCGACGATGCACCTACGGACCGACACGGCGGGACGGCTGATCCTCAGGTCTCCGAGACACATGCCCAGAAGCGGTTGATGGGAGAGGCTGCTTATCAGCGTAAGTCACTTATACCTTAACAAAAAGCACCACAAATCTCACTATACCCTAGGCCAGCTGGAGATGATGAACATGCGGGCTGGTAAGCTGGACTTTGACGGAGTCGACCCAGATCTAGGAATGCACTTGCTATCCTTGCATTGGAATCGCCAGCACCACTCGTTCTTGATCACCTACCGTCCAGCATTCATGCGCGATATGGCCAACAATGGCCCCTACTTTTCTAAGCTTCTGCTCAACGCGATCTACTTCGGCGCCTCCAAATTCAGTGATCGCCCAGAGGTCCGTCGAGACCCTGACGATGTCCGAACGGCAGGGTGGAATTTTCGCATGCGAGTGAAAGAACTGCTAGGCAGTGCTCTCGATCGGAGTGAGATCACCACAATACAGGCGCTACTCGTGATGACCAGCTCATTATTTGCGCTTGGCGACGAACGGAGCGCTGCGTGGTTATACGCTGGTACGGCTTTTCGAATGATCATCGACCTGGGCATGCACGTCGATGCCACGACATTGTCCAACATGCGTCGAATTTCGGACGAGGATCTGGAAATCCGTCGGCGCGTCTTCTGGGGGGCATTCGTCGTCGATAAGATCCAGTCGCTTTACCAAGGTCGCCCCGCCAGTTTACAGCACTTCGATACGAAAGTCTCGCTGTCCTTCCTGGATCAATTCGAGGAGCTAGAACATTGGCAGCCGTTTGCTTATTCGGATGTTCGATCATATTGCGGGTCTCCAGCTTATAGTGTGTCAACATTCACTGAACTTTGCAAGCTATCCCTGATCCTGAATGGCATCCTGAATACCGTGTATTCAGAACGGAGTTCCAACGTATCACCGCAAGAGCTTATTGCTTCTCTGATGTCCTTGGATTCACAACTGCAGAGCTGGCAGCATGCGCTTCCTGCGCATCTACAATTTAGCAACAATGCGGCTCAGCCACCGCCTCCACCTCATGTTCTCTCTCTACTAGCTCTATACAACGTTCTGCTCATTCTTCTCCATCGACCATTCGTGGCCGAGGGGCATCTTCATACCGCGGACCACTCGGTCGCGTATACTTCTTTTAACACATGCTCGGTAGCAGCAAATCGGATTCTCGAGCTGCTCCAGGCCTATGACCAGGCTTTCTCTATACAACGAGCTCCATATCTGATATCTTACGCAACATATGTCGCAGCAACGATCCATGTTCGGGTGGCAGCCCAACGAGAGGACGGCAGTCGAGCTCACGCCCGTCTGCGGACCTGCATTGAAATCTTCCAGAAGAACCTAGAGACTAACTGGGCCGTGCGCCGAGCTCAGAAGGTAATTCTCGGCCTGATGGATCGCATGGGGGTAGTATTGGACAACCATCAAATTTACCAAGGTAGCCAAGCGGCCACCGGTACGATCGATAACAGGGCAGAGCAACCTAGCAGAAGCTCGGTCAATCTTGAGGACGAAAGACCGCTGCAATCGGCATCTGTGGCCACTCGGAGGAGCGCAGAAGTCGAGCCATCTGATTTGGATATGGAGATGATTATTCAAAGCTTCATTCGACAAGACGCGGATAACAATTTCCCGTCTTCTACAGCGGTTCAATTCGGCACAGTGGGCATTCCAGCCCCGACAATGCTGCCTCCCCAGGAAGAGGAATCTCTGGCTGATATTTGGGATAGCGATATGTTATTTGGATTTAATGGCTCACCGTGGAATGGGGCCCTCTACCAATGATTTCTCTCAGGCCAGGTACATCCATTACTTGAGGCGTGAGGAAAAGGAGTGCTATGCCAGGAGTCTATGTTTGCCCAATAGCTAATCCGACAAATTTGGCCTCAAGGATGGTGGGCTGTATACGATCAAGTGCTCTATCATGATGCGTTCTGGTTTATTATGCATAATAGGTCGCTGAAATGGTATTTTTTTATTCACAATCCTGTCTATCTTATCATCCTCTATAGAATACATTGCCTTCAAAAAGTCGGCGCGCCGTCCGGAACACCGCTACTTTTTCCACATGAATTTCCACTTGCGGATCCATTCGCAAGAGCGTCTCTGCATGAATCACACCCGCCGGGGTTCGAATACCTACGGGCAATGGGGGCGCGATTTCATGGCCTCCGACCACCATTCCGTGCTTCGGCTGTTTGCCGATCTCTTTCCCTCCCGCCAGGTCCCATGCAACGGTGCCATAGATCGAGACGGCTGCGCCGAGACACACTGCCCCGGTCAACTGGAGGCTTGGATGAGGCTTCCCCATCGAAAAGGCACGGATCTGGATATCTGCATCCTTGTCATCTTCTGCTACCGACGACAAAAATGCGATCTTCGGCGTTCCTCGTACTTGGCTCGCTGCCTCTAGATCGGAAGCCAGACCCATATGCACCGCCCCTGTGCGGCGGATATCTTCGACAACGGACAGGAACAGGGCATCGTTTGGGTCTGGCCACGTGGGGTGGTCTTTGAAGGATAACGAGGATGCATCGACCAGGACAAATGGGTTCGCAACGTCTATCAGGCTGACCCGAATGTGAAATTCTCCCACATGCGGAGAGTAAACCGTCAGAGTCTCCTGTGATGTGCCGCTGGGAAACATCTGACCGGTCATGCTGCCCCCGGGGTTGAGGAATGCGACTTTGATTGGACTTGACGTGCCTCGAACGCCGGGGATACAATAATCGCCATCCTCTTGGAATCGTCCGTCAGGAGCTACTTGGACGGTTTCCACGATGATCTGTCCGGTGTTGGTGTTTAGGATTCGAACGTCGATCTGCATATTAGGGTTAGTTTGGTTGATCCTTCTCTCCATGTCAAGTGAGTTCGGAATTCTCTCACCTCCGATTGACCCGGCCTTGCCCTCACGATTCCCTCGTCAAGAGCAAACGGTCCCACTCCAGAGGCAATGTTGCCGCAGTTCCCCGTCATGTCTATCTTGGCCTGATCCGGAGCTACTTGGACGAAAGTATAGTCGGCATCGACACCGGGGGATTGGGATTTCTCAATAATAGCGACCTTCGACGTCGTGGATGTAGCACCCCCAACACCGTCAATTTGATTCGCGTTTGTCCCCGTGGAGCCCATCGCCGATAGCAGTATTGGTTCCCAGAGCTGGGTCGATGCCGGGAGGTGTCTTTGATGGATGAACAATCCCTTTGAAGTGCCTGACCGCATCCATACTGCAGGGAATGAGTGTCTCGTTGGCGACGAGCAATGTACAAGGATCGGAGTGTGGGCATGAACGACGGAAGACTTCGTCATGGAAAAGGATGTTGCTTTGGTCATGATGTTGCTCAACTGTCGCGTGCTTTGCATGGGCTATCTGCTTGGCTTCGGTTTCAGCTGGAGGCTCGACTTGGGGAATTGGGCGCCCTCATTGCGAGTAGATATATTATCACTAATTGCCTTCTAGGTCTTGAATTGAATGAAGTCCGGATGGAAGCCATCTGCTCCGCGGGATGGGATACGCCGCGGATAGGGTACGTACATCACGGCATCTTTTTCCGGGTGATTCTTTGTCGGTTAGAACTTATCTTGCTCTAAGCCTGTGGGGTGATGGAAACTGGACAATGAAGCCAAAGGATTACTAGGTCCTGTTTGATACGGGTCTTGTGGGGGATCCACGGAACATAACTTGCCGCGGTGAGCTGCTTCTGCTTTACCCCTTCTTTGCCCCCTACAATTCCTCGCGATAACGTGAGCCATTCGATACCTTCCATGATGTTTCTGATACGTCATTTCAGATAAGCCTATCGGTTGCCTTCATTCCGCAAATCATCCTTGAAGGAAGAGGGTCGCTTCTGAGGGATTGACTCTGGATGGGTGACGAATACCGTCATAACCCTTAGATCACATCTGGAGTTAATCGGCCACCATTGGTGTCTCTTCATGATATTTGAGTTGACGTGGAGCCATTCAACTGTCAGAACAAGGTAGGAAATTAGTGCTAATCGGGTCGCCCTTCCAATATTTCAACATTCAAATCTCCTAAGGCTATCGTTATATACGCATGTACCTATCCAACTAGGGCTAACAGAGCCCCAGTAGCCCAGTTCATAGCTTCTTGCTCATCGATATGAATAAAAATGCCACCTGCACTAACCCTAGATTCAAGCGTGTTCCTTCTGCTCAACAATCACCTTCTGCTCTGTCGCTTGCTGATCTGATTCCGTCGCATCTCCCTGCGGAAGCTTTCTCGCCATCCCAACAATATGCCACGGAGAAGACGCATCGCGAAAGACCTGGTCTAAGGCCTCTAGGTTGCGTCCCATGGTTTCCGGATAGAACAGATACACCGTGACCGGGATGCACGCTGAAATGACAGCGTAGACAATATAGTATCGCCAGCCAATAGTGTCAAGTGCAACCGGTGTGATCATCACCACGATGAAGTTCCATAGCCATTTATTCGCCGTCGATACGGACGACATCGCGACGCGCAAATGCATGGGAGCGACCTCCGTGCAGTAGAGGAAGTTTGCGCCGGAGAAACCGATCGGATAGAACATGTTGAAGAGCCAGATGAAGGCCGCGGAGGTGATCGATAGGCTCCTGCTGGGGTTGCTGAAACTTGTCGTGATGGCTAGAACCGTCATACAGAGACACATGCCTGCGCCGCTGAAGATGAACACCTTGCGTCGACCCAGACGGTCGATCGCGAAGAAGGGGATGAAGTTGCAGACGAACTTCCACGTCAGTGCGCTAGCACCTAGAATCCGAGACTTCTCTGCGCCTAGATGGAGGTTCTCTTCGAAGATGGTGGACACGTAGGTGGAAATCAGGTTACCGCCGCACATCTGCTGGAAGAACTGGATGACAAGACACAGAGCGAATCGATAGAGCAGACGTCCTTCGTCATCGCCGAAAACAAGGTTCCGGAATGAGAGACTCCTCTGTGCTTGTCTAGTGGTTTCTAGCGATGACGCTATACCGGCAATCTCAGTCTGCACTGCTTCATCATCGTCCGGGAGGCCTCTGTAGGCTGCTAGACTCCGCACTGCGTCGTGCTTCCTCGACACAAGCACCAGCCAGCGAGGTGACTCGGGGAGCAGAAAGACGGATGCCAAAAGGATCAGAGGGAAGATGAAAGCCAACGCCAGTGGAACACGCCACTGCGTTTCCCCGGTCGTCTTGCTCAAGCCGTAATCAATCCAGTTGGTGAGTACAAAACCCAAGACCATGCATATTCCATCAACCACGACATGTTGACCGCGATGCTTTGCAGAGCTACATTCAGCCTGCCATACCGGAACTGTAGCGCTTAGTTGCCCGATGCCGATACCAAGTATGACCCGGCCGATGGAAAATTGGATCGTATTGAAGGACGACGTTTGTAGAATCTCTCCGATGATGGTGATAATGCCGGCCACGAAAATAGTCTTGCGCCGGCCGAGCCGATCACCGATGTAAGCGCAGGATAGCGCTCCCACGAGGGCTCCCAGTTGAAGGGCCGCAATGACGGCACCCTTCCGCGTCGAGTTTCTCTCTTTGATGGCACCCTTGGTATGGAGGGTTTCGATGTCCGGGAAAGTGGTCACCCTGGAAATTGGTCAGCCTTGTGTCTTGATTGCTTTTGCTGAGTCGGAATCACCATGACTGTAGATTGGCAAGAGGTGCTACCCCAGCCTGATTGTATCCGTAGGATATGAATGCCGGTGCAACTGTAAGTAGCACCTGCGCGAGACGAAGCGACTTTCCACGAAGGAACGGCATGATGGGGACAGTTCAAGAGAGATATCTAGTGCGCTTTCTATCCACATTGTCCCAGAAACGTTCTACTTAAATAGTCTTTCTCCGAAGTGCCCCAGACTCTGGGCACCCCGCATCATAGCGGAGTCAGATATTTAGACTGGGGAAATTCGCCGGGACTCACGAGCATTCAGCCTTTCTTACTTGTTCCCACATGTTCCCCTTGTACTACTGACTTAACCGTGGACCAACTAAGTGACTGGTTACTAGTTGGTTACTAGCATCCTTCCGTGGAATGACAGCTTCCGCGGCTCAGCATCCACCGACGGGCACAAGTAGTTTGAATGGGATTCTTTGGAACTGTTCTGTGATGAATAGTAGTTATATTATGGGATAGCTTACAGTCTTGGATTATCATTGGGTTATGCTGCATTCAACCCAAACTAAGAAAGAGAGGACGAGAAAGTCATTTTACTTTGCTTATCTTTTTCAGCTCCAGCTAATTCCCTTTAAGTCACTTACTCTTGTTGTAGGGGACTATACATGAATCAAAGAGGACGCAAAATGACACCGAAGTCTCGCGGCGCACTCGTCTGTACTTACTAGCTACTAAATGAAGGCATTTGTCGGTGTCACTGGCAAGTCCAATCAATGTCTACTTATGTCTCTCTCTTCTCAACATGGTCCAATTGATCCAATACCGAAAAGGGGAGGCAGGTATTGATGTCGTTGTGAATGGTGCTGCCAAAATGAGGTGGACAGTGAATGAAGACCAGCCACCCACCACACAACAGCACTGACGAGTGCTACTACTCTCGCGACAGAGGTCTTCTCATCCCCGACCTCATTCTTCTGACTACAGTACACTTCTAGAGAAACCTCGCTGAGTTGAAAGAATCTTGAATACCATCGACAAGATGCGTTGGTAAGCACAAGGTCTTTCTCCAAGTGAGCATGCTCTGATCGCTTTCAAACGGGTTAGCAACGACCCTAAATGCGGCTGCCAGCCAGCACCTAAAAGAACGTCGAGAAAACTCACGCTCTTCTTGCACGGCGCCAAACCAGAGCAAAAATGCGCACTGCACCAGCCTGGCGCTGAACTCGACGTGGTCTTGGATCTGGTCGGCAACGTTCTCATCCTGCGCGAAACCATCGAGGATCCCGAACGAATCAAAACAGCCTGGACTCTCAGTGTGCACATTGACTGCTCGAAAATGCATCTGATCAACCTCAAAGGACTCAAAGACGGCTCGCTCCAACTGTCACTGCAAATGCGACGCTCGGCCTGTTTTCCGAAAGGCAACAAGATGCTCATCAAGGAGAAGTTTCACGGATTCGCGCCTCTTCATCTCGGAAGCAGGCTTTACAACGACTTCTACTCCTGCGGCTGGTCGCAGCAGCGAATCGAGCTCTTCCTCCCTGCGGAGCGCATCAGTGGTTGGAAGACCGTGGCCCTCATCCTCAGAACGTTCAAGGAGATCTCGGCGGAGCAATGGTGTCACCTAGCCAACATCATCAAGCCTCCCTCTGTTTCTCTTCTGGATTGGAGAGGACTTTCGGAAGGTCTCAGGGCCATGGCAATCAAGAAACCTAAGGACACAGTCAAGGAGAAGAAGGCCTGCATTGCTTCCAAGGAAGGCAGAGTCAAATCAATGCACCGGGATTCGATGGCTCTGGGGGAACATCAGCTGGGAAAACTGCCGGTTTTAGTTTCGACTGTATCCTGCTGAAGACAGCGTTTGCGCTCCATTATGTACAGAAAGTTTCTCACACTATGGCGTCGGGTGATGGCTAAGGGAAAGGATCCATATCCCCGGGAATTATTATTCCACTTTGATATGGGGGATTTAATTGGTGAAGAATTGTGTTACAGCTGCTGTACTGCATGATTAAGGGTGTATTTCGGGATCATAGCGAGCAGGTCTATGTCGGTCTTCATTTCTTTAAGAAGACATTAGCAATGGAAGCATGAAATCGTGTATGGCACAGTACATGCAACTTGTCTGATCCAAGTAAAGGAGCTCTGATCCTCGAATCATAAGCCTCAGACATGCATCTTCTTAGTGTATGAGCTCCTCAAACTTGTTGTTATTTTCGGCTCTAAGTTGAATGAACAAGCCCCTGCTGTGTGCTCGTCCCTATCCCATCCGTGCTGCAAGGGCGACAAGATTGGTTATCAGTGCTGCCTGTCTATTTGATAGTAAAACGCTCATTTCCCAGCATGTTGAATATGCGTGGATGCAAACCCATCTTGTCAACTGCATTTATAATTTTGGAAATGAAAAGAGGAGGAAGCTAACCATACGTTTCATCTCGTGGTTACGGTTTTCGTCGACTCGTCGTACGGTCGTAGGTTTCGCTCCTGGTTTTTCTCCCTTCTCTCCTTGCTTCCATCCACCCTTCGACTCATCAATTGATATCATTCAGGCATTGCTCTATTCATTTGAAAATTGCAATTTATGAAAGAAAAATGAGAATAGCAAGAAAGTTGCTCGATATTGACTTGGCCTATGGTACTTGTGGTAATCGACTTGTGCACTAACTACTTAGGGCACAAGATCTTGAGCAATTGGAGTCGGGATACCTCCTTGATTCGCCAAATTATACTCATGGTCTACTCCTTGCGCACGAGTCACTGTGCTGTCCCTGGATAATTTGGACCCTCTTGGTCTCCCCCCTGGAAGGAGGGCAGGAGCCCACACGAAAGGGTGACACCACGTTCGAGCAAATGATATCGCTTTGTTGACAGCAGGATCCAAAGATATAATGACGATCTACCCCTACAATCGAATGCTGACTATCGATAATCAATGGTTATGGTTTCAGCCGATTGATCTCTCGGACTTGTTGCACGCCAGGTCTGCATAGTGGGCAGTGGTTATTTCTGGTGTTATGAAAGGGCTCTGCATGCAGTGGACCAACATCAAATGCTGCAGAACAGCAGCTAAACGATCTCACTATGTACAAAAAGATCCTGATACATTCAAGCCTATATACGAGGTCTATAGAAGGAGGGGCCGTCCCCTTGTCAAGGAGTACGATCAAAGATCTCCCTTTGGACTTTAGTATAACCCCTCGTCAGCTTTGCTGCGGATCTTGTGTTTTTCTCTCATAATTTATTCTGGTTGAATTTGCTTCTGCTCATTCTAACTACCAACCTCCTATTTTATCCTTGTCTGTTCACTCGCACACATTCTTTCTGTTCTTGTGGAGAGAATGCTCCGACTCATCTAAGATTTTTCCCCAGCCTATCATTTGCTCTCATTCACAATATATTCTCTACTGTCAAAGAATTCAAGGACCACACTTGCTTGGCAGATAATTATGAGTATATGAATTGTGGAATTTTTATCTTTCGCTATAGTAACTCGATACAATGTTTCCCCAGACACATTTATCGAAATGGCTCTGCTTCGTTCTAGCTATAGATACATTCACCCCAAGCAAAGCAGCAAACACAAAAGCTTGGAAGTCGCGAACTATCTACCAGACCATGACAGACCGATTTGCGCGCACTGATGGCTCTACATCTCATAGCTGCAACACGACACAGGGTCTATATTGCGGTGGGACCTGGAGGGGAATGATAAATCAACTTGATTACATTCAAGACATGGGATTCGACGCTGTCATGATCTCACCAATCGTCAAGAATGTGGAAGGCCGTGTACCTTACGGCGAGGCTTATCATGGCTACTGGGTTCAGGACATGTATTCCCTGAACTCGCACTTCGGAACCAAACAGGACCTACTTGATCTGAGTAAGGCACTGCACGATCGCGGAATGTACCTCATGATGGACACGGTGATCAACAACATGGCTTATATCAACAAGGATGGAGACTCCATGGCTGATATCGACTATTCTCGTCTCCACCCTTTCAACGATCCGAAGTATTTCCACCCGTACTGCAAGATCACGGACTATGATGATTACCCATTGGCCCAGAAATGCTGGACAGGAGACCAAATCGTGCCGCTTCCAGACCTGAAGACGGAGGACAAGAAAGTACAGGCCATGCAGTTGGATTGGATCAAAGAGACAATATCAAACTATTCAATTGATGGGTTACGTCTAGACGCCGCGAAACATATCACTCCGGATTTTCTCCCTGTGTTTCAAGAGGAAGCCGATACATTTATCACGGGGGAAGTATTCGACAAATCAGTCAAAAGAATCTGTGGCTACCAGAACAAACTAACCAGTGTTCCGAACTATCCCATCTATTATTCTCTTCTGGACGCCTTCACCCTAGGCAATACCAGCTCTCTACCGGACCAGGTAGAAGTGATGAAGAACAACTGCCCCGATGTAAACGCTATGACTTCATTCTCCGAGAATCATGACGTTGTTCGATTCGCCAGTCTCAAAGACGACATAACAGTAAGCAATCCCTTTCATCTCTGATCCCCTCCCCCTCCCCTCCCCTACTTCCGGGTGGAAACTGACATCCTAAATCCAACAGCTCGCCAAAAACGTCATCACCTTCACATTGCTCTTCGACGGCATTCCCATCATCTACCAAGGCCAAGAACAGCACTTGAACGGCAGCCACGACCCCTCGAACCGCGAAGCCCTCTGGCTCTCGGGCTACAATACCCAAACGCCCCTATACAAAGCGACGGCCGCACTGAACCGGCTCCGCAAGCATGCCTCCCGCGTCGATCCCGAATACTTGAATACCCCGACCTACCCGATCTACAAGGGCCTCAGCGAGATGGGATTCCGGAAGGGCCGCGAAGGACGACAGGTCGTCATGGTGCTGTCCACGCAGGGATCGCAGAGTGGCGAGTACACGGTCCGGATGATGAACGGATACCAGCCATCTTATGTGGTCATTGACGTGTTCAGCTGTAAGACATACGAGATTAACGATATGGGTGAGCTACGGTTAGATATGGATAAGGGGGAGCCGCGCGTGCTTTATCCGACGAATTTGATGTATGGGAGTGGGCTGTGTGGGTATGAGAGTGCGAATGTGTCGTATCGCGACTTTGAGAAGAAGAAGCCGAACGCTTTTGCGTCTGCGTCTGCTTCGTCTTCGTCTTCCTCTGGTCTGACGTCGGGGTCTGGAATCTTGGTCGTCTTGGACAGTCGGCAATTCATCTCATGGGTTTGGGTGTCATTGTTTGTCTGCCTGGTTTTGCTTGTGGCGTAGGTATCTAAGGCAAAGGTTGTTTATGGGAACTATGCCTTTGGCCTTTCTCTTTCTCTCTAAGGAGTCTTTTTTTAGTATTCTAATTTGCAGTTGCACATAATATTACAAATAGAACAGATGGTCTAATACCGAGACTAGGTTCTAATAAGTTTCATACTTGATTATAATATATTTGAACGAGAAAATTTGAAATTTTTTTTATATCATTTTTAATATAAAAGAGCGGAGTGGATCTATAACCATTCCTTAGCAAACAAATGCCTGAATCCCCCGACAGATTTCTCCGCCATGCCCCTAGCCAATTAAAGTATGGGGGTGAACTGGTTGAGAGCAAAGAGGAAACAAGATATTGCTTGCTGCCAAAAAAATCCAATCATATAGCATTGAGCCGTAGCCACGATGCATGCGTATAAGTACAAAGAATGCCCCAAGAAATGTGAGCAAAATAAAGCAAACGCAAACCAGTATCCATGTTTCTCCGAGTTTATGATGTTGATTTCCAAAGTTGTTCAGATGGCAAGCGACTTGAACAAAATTTAGACCTCGGGGAGTCCCTGAAGGTCATTCAGTCCATTTGACAAGGTGTCATTTACTTCCGGTTGTTGCGCTGCATGCCCAGGATCTGGACCATACGGACGAAGATGTTGATGAAGTCCAACTCGAGGCTGATGCTCTCGTTGACGACGTCACGGCGGACAAGGCCGCGCTCGGCCAGGCGGGCATGGTGCAAGATCTTCTGGACATCGTAGAGAGTGAAACCACCGAAGACAGCGAGACCACCGTACAGCCAGATCTTCTCAGACCACATCAGGGTGCGGGTGGCGGTGGCGGGGATGACGAGAGGAGCGAGACCGGAAAGAGCAACGAGGGTAACACCAGCGAGAAGGGGAGCGCCGAGGTACAGGTACTTCTCCTGCTTGGCGGTAGCACCGACGAAAGCGATCGAGCCCATCATTCCGACGGTGTAGAGACCAGCACGGGCAAGCAGAGCGGGGTGCATGAACATCAAGGGCGAGAGAAGCGCAGCCTGAGTAACGTTGAAGCCAGCCCAGAGACCATATTTCATCAGGTAGCTACATAATTGTTAGTATTTAGCCTCTTTTTTGACAAGATCGATGGATGAATGAAAAATGGGTAAAGATGGAATACTCACTTGTCGGGAGAAGTGTACAAAGTGCCATACATGGTTCCAATGCTGCCAACCAAGCCGAGACCAATGACGGCCCAAGGGCTCATCGACATCAGACGGTACGACCATCCGTTCATGTGCAGAGCTCTAGCAGCAATACCAATTATACCAAGTCCGAGTCCAGTGTGCAAGAAAGTGTCGTTCAGGTAGCTTCGTTCAAACGCAGGCATGCCGCCATCCTCTCGGGTCTCACGGTTGAAGACCAAGTTCGTCGCCAGGACCGTTCCACCAACGATGGCAGCTCCGTAGAGCAGCTTTTGAGTAACGTTGCCGCCGTAGGCATTGTAGGAGGGCTGCATGTATGTGCGACGGAAGGCATTCTGGAAGGTCTGTCTGGACTTCGCGAAGATGGAAGGCGAGGCGGAACCGACGGGCTTGGACTGAGGCTTGAGGGGTGAGTTGTGAATAAATCGGGCGTTATTCGCAGCTCTGGGTGCTGCTTGGCGAAGAGCCGTTGGAACGGCAAACGGGCGCCGTAGGAAGAAAGCCATGATTGCGATGGAAATGTGTCCAAGCTGGATGGCCAAGGTCGCAGCAGGAAGTATTTAAGAGGAAGAACGATGATATCAGTCAGCGCAGGTCCGCCCAGGTCCGCCAACTTGACTACGGGCACCCGAAAGTTCGAGAAGCGCAGTCACGTGGAGCCTGCTGACTCACTCCGCCTCGGCGATAAGTTTGGCGGGGGAGGGGGAAAGAAGGAGTTTGGCTATCTCCGGCCATCACTTGAGCCATTTCCGCCTCGTTCTGCACTTTTCTCGCACTTGCGGCATTTGAGTCACTTATTCTAGAGCCAGTGTTTCACCTCGCCAACATGTCTGCGTCATTGGAAACGATCAGTCTCGCTCATCTTCCGTCCTCGTTACCGGTCCATGTAGCCCTATACCGTGACTTGAAGAATGCACCCTTTTTGCGACAGCAGCTTATCTCGGGAAACGCGGAGTTTGAATATGCCTTCATTGATGCGAGCATGGTACGGGATATCTGCACAGATACTTCGAAATAGAATGAATGAGATTGGTTTAACCACCATGTCCAGGTCCTATCCAAAACGCATGCTCTTTCGGCCGTCTTCAGAGCAGTAAATGACTATCTGAATGACCGTCTTAAGTCGCGCAATGTCCACTCGGAGACTGTGTTCGCTTTGAATCCAACCACTAATGTGTGTTCCCTGGCGGTGGAAGATTGGCTATGCTCTCAAGCTAATCGCATATAGATCGCCGATTCGTTCCGCAAATTCGGCATCACGGACGCGACAAAGGATCTGCTTGTGATCAAGGTCTCCGTGAACCCAAGCTTCACGCATGACACAGTTGCGGCGCATCTGTCGCAATACATCGAAGGCTCCATGGTGCCGTTCAACGACGAGACATTGTCCCAGGTCGCCGACGTCCCGAAGATCAAGAAGGCCTATAAGCTGGGGGCATTGAATACCACACCGGGGAACCAGGCCAATGGCGTCCAGGACGATCAAATGAAACGACTTGAACTCTCCGTGCTGGCCGCCATCGCTCTGCGAGGGGCGACTTGATTATTTGCGGATGTATCGGCGATAAAATTATCAAGGCTTTCCGAGCTGGCGAGTGAATTCGATTCCAGTCATGGTCTTTGGAGAAATCGCGTCCCGACACTGGCTCGGAGGACTGTCCAGCGCTCATGTCACACCTCTCCTCGGTGAGGTGCTGCTGGAGGGTCACAGCATAGCAATGGACTCGTGACAATTGCGGTGGATTCGTGGCATCTTCTACACGGTCGTCGACGACCAATGAGAACGCAGTCAATGTGCTTGAGAAGGTGCGACTCTTACGCCGCCGTGCTTACGACTAAACGATTAAACATCACGATCATGGACTCTCAGTTGGGGTCCAACTCATGTGATATGCCCCAAAATTCCAAATAGAATCATAGTTAGAAATAATACTTTATTTACCCGGATGCCAGCGGTTGCCCTGCCCACCGTTTGACACATCCGAATCCGGTAATCCCGCAACGGTGCCAAGAAACCCTCCGTGATTGCCTTCAGCTTTTGTCCGCAATCCTCCCCGGCGAAGACTCACAAAATTGACGACATGGAACAAAACCAGGGGAAGACGTGTTCGCGAGCTCGACCTACCTTCTAAGCGTCGTCTAGTATCTTTCATGCTAACCCTTGAACCGTACTAGCGTTGCTGCGTTGCTACGCGCTTGCCACCATGAGCGCCGCGGCAGACGTCATCTTGCTTGATTCCTCGCCGGAGCAGCCTTCGTCTCACACTCCAGCGCGCGCTACTTCTGACCCGACGGAACTGGCAGGGGTCTCCCCGCGAGAATTATCGTCGCCGCCAGTTCTGTCGCCGTCAGAATTGTTCCGAGCTCCTTCGCGGTCCCGCTTCTTCACCGCCGACAATCAAAGCGCCAACCGGTCGAACGTTAAGGGAAAGAACGCACCCAATAGGAGAGACGGAACTTCAGAAGATCTTGATGTGGAAGGGGAGGAAACAATCCCACAGAAGAAACCGAAACGAGGGCGGCCGAAAGCCACGAACAAGGAGCAAGAAGGCCTGGAAACTACAACCTCGGATCAGAACCAGAAGGAAACCGCGCCGAAAAAGCCAAGGGCAACAAAAGCGAAATCTACGGAGGGCCCAAAAAAGCGCGGAAGGCCCAGCACGAAGACTGCTACGAATAATAATAAAACTCTGTCGGGACGGGTTGCGAAGGCCGGGAATGCGCAGCCAAAGGAGCCCGATGAAAAAACCAAACGTCCATCGACCCCGAAATCTTCGTCCCGGGAGACCTCCGCCAAGGATCCAGTTGACTGGGAAAAAGAAGGACTACAATTGGAGGCAGCTACGAAACGGAGGTTGGATTGGACACCCACTAAAGACACAATGAATCGGGCCGTCGAGACAGATAAGGTTGAAGGAGTGGGCGACGACACATCGAACGGATTCGGATCTCTATTAGAAGACTATAACTTCAGCGGAGGCTTTCCGCTTCCTCAGACCAGTTCTGGAATTCCTGAGGAGGGTTTCATTACAAAGCGGAGACGAATCGAACTCGTCGATTCTAGGCTCAATCCTGAATCAAGACAAAGGAGTTCCGAAGAGGACAAGCCGTCCGCTGAAGAAGACCACTCATCCAATGCCCCGGCTCCCAAGAAGAGAAGGCAGGAACAGCCTAAGAAGCTTACTACACTCACAGCCCGAGTGACGGCGCAATATAACAATAACCCCACGGAAAGCTCGGATCTTTTGGCAACCACGAGGAAAGATTCCCCTTTTGTTCAAACTAAGAAAACCAAATCGAAAGGAAAAGGCAAAACAAAGCTTCAGGAACCCGAATTCATTGTTCTTTCCCCTGAAGCGGCTGCCAAATCCCTTGATGACCAAGACCTCGTATTTGGGACCTGCAGTCAGCTGCAACGAGAAGACTCTCCAACCCTTCTAAAAGAAACGCAAGCAGCAATTCTTGAGTCGGAGAAGAGCATTATATCCGCGTCAACGCCTCGAGACCCGTGGTTTCAATCGTCCTCCACCACCACAGTCGCCCGTTTTATGACGCCGAAGAATCTATGGTCCGTTGCGGCGAGAGATACCGAGGGGTCATTAACTCAGGTCGAAGTCGTTGATCTATCGGAATCGCCTGATTTACCCAAACTCTCGTTTCTCAATAACAACAAAGCTCAAGCTGCTTCAAAGAAGAAACAGAGCAAGGAGCCTGACGTTACGCCCGATTTTACACCTGATGACTTAAGCCACAATGAAGTACCGGAGCTTAAGGAGACGTCATCTTCAGGTAAAGAGCTGTCTCAAGTAGCAAGCCAGAACACAAACACAGAAGGTGGATCCAAGGAGAAGACCCAGCCTCCGGAATCTCTTCCTCAAAAGCCTCGATATGCGGGGTTTACAGATGCCGAATTATCCAGTCAGGTGGCAGCCTACGGGTTCAAGGCCGTCAGAAACCGCAAGAAAATGATCGAATTGCTCCAGAAATGCTGGGAATCTAAACATGCCCCAAGCGTGAGCGTGGATGGGCAACAGAATCAGGATAATGTACCACTTAAACCGACCACGGAAGCCGCACCACAGTCACAAACAACCGGTAAAGGGACTCGCAAGGCTGCCAGCACTTCTCAAGCGACGACCACAAAAGTCAAGAAGACTCAACCAAGCAAAACAACAAAATCCACGACAAAATTGAAAAACAAGCCATCTACATCACCCCTCAAAGCTAGTACCCAGCAACCCGCTTCTCAGCTTGAATCATCACAGGTTGTCCCCTCTATCCGTTCCTTCGCCGAAATCGAGGAAATCCAAGACTCCGAAGACGAGCTCACCCCCTCTCCCAGCCGACTCCTGGGCCAATACCTCCCTACCACCGAGAGACAGTCTCTACCTATGTCCCCAATTCCACCAACCCCAACTCGCAGCACCACAAGATCTCATCTCCAACAATCAGCTGCCCCTCAACCCACCAAGCCCAGCGCTCCACCCGATCTAGCTAACCAGATCACCAAAGCCGTCCGGGCTCAGGCTCAACATCGCGCCTCCAAGCCTCCTCACAAGCATCTCACCTGGCACGAGAAGATGCTGATGTATGATCCCATCATCCTAGAGGATTTTACGGGTTGGTTGAATACAGAGGGTCTGGCGCTTGTGGCCGAGGATAGAGAAGTCGGGGCTGGATTCGTGCGGCAGTGGTGTGAAACCCACAGTATTTGTTGCTGCTATCGGTGATTTTGGTTCCTGGGTTAGGTTGTTTTTTCTATCTTTTTTTCCCCCATATTCGCATATGTATATCTATTTTTCTTGTATGTCACTCACGCATTGGGACTGGCGTTGAATATCTTTTGGTTTGGGTCTGGGTACATGGTTACATGAGAATTTGGAATTAGAATTGGAACTGGGGCTCTTGGACGGACTTGGATTGAATATGAATCAACAGTGAATAATGATTTGCTTTCTCGCGAATATCCCTGTTTTTTTGGTACCATTCTTTCTTGATCAAACAAATCATACTGTACTTTGTCGGAAGCTACCATATTATAAGCTCGCTCAATTTTGATACCGACTTCACTACTCACCATCACTCAGTCGTAGATAGAACCTCTACTAGGAAAGAAATTGTTCACAAAATCTGACATAATTTCATCTATATATACAAACGATAAATTGTACATATAAGGAAAGAGATGGATAGAGGCATTAAGACATTAAACATAAATCATTAAACATAAAACATTATCCAAAACCATATTCAGAGAAACACCCAAAAAAAAAAAAGTACATACGCAAATCCTCTATGAACAAAAATATCAAGAAAAAAAAGAGAGGTATCCAAAGACAAACAACAGAAAACAAGTACGTAGATCCTTTATAAGCCAAAGATACCAGAAAGCCACGGCAAACAAACAGCACCCCAAACGCCAACGAAATGCAAGGGTATCAAGAAAAAAAAATCGTTACAGAAAAAGCCCAACGTCTTCTATATATAGGGTATCAAGAAGCGGGAGGCACACAAACAATCAAAGAAGGAAAATCGTCCGGAATGAAAAAAAAAAAAAAAAAAAAAAAAAAAAAAAAAAAAAAAACAAAAAAAAACACAAAAAAAAAAAAAAAAAAAAAAAAAAAAAAAAAAAAAAAAGAACGAAATGACCCCCTTATATACTCCTATATATGACAGCGGCGACGTATACCCACCTACCTCCTATCCGTCACGTCTGGCGGCTGCAAGGAGAGCCTAACGACGCGGCCTCTTCCTATCCCTCGGGTTTTCATCACGAGGGGCGGGAGACTCATGACGCGACCTCTTTCTCCTCTTGTTCGGGGCAGCCAGACTATCGACGGAAGCGTCGGTGGCATTGGTATCGTCGTCGCTGTCGACGACCGTCCTCTCATGCGCGCCGATTGCTCCTTGCGCGGTTATGGGGCCCTCAAATGCCCCAGTGACGTCCAGCTCGTCGACGGGGTCGCCTGCGACTCCCGCGAAGAGCGAGGCGTTGTCATCGACATCATCAATGGGTCCCATGTATTCTGCAGGTGCCGGGGTGTCGAAAGGCACCTGGGGCGCAAGGTCCTGATATCCCACATCTTCATGGGCTGGCTCGGTGGGACGACCCTCGGTTTCCTCGCCCTGACCCGTCAATCCGCGGTATAGATCGTGGAGTTCGTTGTCAAAGGCAGGTGGTAGGTTTGAGAGGTCGAGGTCGTCCAAGTTTGCCAGCCCCAAAGATGCTTCCACTTGAGCGTCGTCCAGGGTTGGGTGCTCGTTTCCAGAAGACGGCTCGTTGACTACGGCTTGCGCCGCGAGTGGGGCTTGTTCGTCCGACTCGTCGCGCGGCTGCTGAGCTTCTTCCCAGGTGGGCATCTTCGACGGGTCTTGCTCTTCATCATGGGTCGAGCCCTCGACACGGGTCGACTCTTCAAAACGAGGCAATTCCCCCGCGGGCATATTGCTACCCGCGGTCGTGGTCTGATGATCGAAGATGTAATTCACAAAGCCTAGGTCGAGGCTAGCAACGAGCGATTCATCTAGCTGGGTCTGGCTAGGGTCAAAAGAACCGGGGGCCTGAGGCTCCGCGCCAACCTGGGTTGGGTCAGCGGGGACGCCGTCAGTATCCTCCCCGGTCCTAGTGTACTCTGCCGACTCCGAAGCTAGGTCGTCGTCGTCTTCGTCGTTCTGGTTCGGGCCCTCATCGTGGAGAGATTCCTCGTCATCTCCGACGGGGCCGTCGCCCTGGAATTGGACCCCCTCTTCCTCGAGCATATCGTCAAATTCGTTCCTAACCGGGGCGGGATTAGCAGGCTGGGTAGGAATTGGACCCGGCCAATTGTAAGCCCCGGTAGGTGCTTGAGCTGCGAGGTTGTTCCAGTGGTCAGCGGGGCCAGAGAGACCTAAGCCTGAAGTCTGAGGAGGCATGGTCTGCTGAGGCACTGCTCGCTGCTGGAACTGGTTGGCGGCGATATGCATCGAGGCGTATGCAGCAGCTGCAATTGTCGTGGGCTGCATATCCATCAGGGGGTACTGGTCGCGTGGAGGGAGCATGCCGGCATGAGAACCAACGGACCGAGGATCAACTTGGCGCTGAACAGCCTGGTAAGGACTCTGGGCAGGCATGTTCGGAGGGGCCATGCTCTGCTGGCCAGCAAGTTGATCGTTGACGGCAGGCCTTCGCATTTGACCCATTTGGTGCATGTTGGGGTCGTTGACGTGCGAAAGACCCGCAATCTCGGCAGGCGACTGCAAGCGACGGTTGTCACGCCCCTGGACATGGGGAGGAAGTCCTTGAGGCACTGGAGGAGCTGCGAGTTGATTGTTCGCGGGTTGCGCCATCGGACCTGCCACCATGTTGGGATCGAGACCGCGCTGCTCGCCTAGGGGGTTCTCGATGCCGGTCAAGCCATCCCATTCGAGGGGATAATCGATCGCTTCGATACGAGAGGTCGCCTAGAGAGGTTAGAAGGAATAAAGAGGAGGTGGAAATAGTCTGCACGTACCAGTATATTATATACATCATCGGACGAGAGACCTAGCTCTTGCTGGAACAGAGCGAACAATCGGCCGATTGCTTTGTCCATCGCCAGGATTTCCTTTTGATGCTCAGTAGCCTGGTAGAATAGGTAATCTATAGTTCTGTTTTTGTAACTGAGCATGTCCAGAAAGTCCGCGGCCTGGCGCTCAACTTCGCCCCGTCTATAGGTCCAACTCGTATTTTTACAGGTCCATTGGCACGTTGCTAGACCGTTTTTAACATTGAGACAATTGCTGCAACACCAGGGGTCAGAGTCGCAGGAAAGTCTCAGAACCTAGAATGAGCGCAAACAGTCAGTTCAAATCCATCAGGGCAGAAAGGAAATCAGAGGAAGTCAGTCAACTCACCACGCAGCGATCACACGATGTGCCCGTCCGTGACTTGGGCTTTACCTTCAAGAGCTCGGCGGGAACCTCGAGGTTCTTTTCAGTAAATTTGTTGCATTTATCTTCCCAGTCCTGGATGGTATCTTCGATAAATTGCTGCCTGGATCGAATTATGGCCGAATGATCGGCCTCGTCCTCCGCCTTCTTGCGGCGTTGCTTCCGCTTGCCGCCCTCGCCCCCCTTGCCCTTCCCCTTCTTCTTCTTCTTCTTCTTCCCCTTCTTCTTCGTCCCTGCCGCCTCCTCCTCTTCCGGCTCCTCCCCTTCGCTCTCCTCGTCGGGGATGGGTGCGTCGGGATCGGCCACGTCGTCATCGACGGTGCCGTTGTCGTTGTCTTCGACGTTGTCACCGACGGTCTCACCGACGCTACCATCCGCGTTGAGGCAATTCATGATCTCGTGAGCCGCGTCGAGGCGAGCCGCCTCGGCCTCTGGGTCCTCCAAACTCCAATCTGCCGCAGCACTGATATACCCCGACCAACCCTCGGGAAGAGGGATACCGCGCACGTCAACTTCCACGTTCTTGATACCATCCTCAGTCTCAACCTGTACCCAATTATTGGGCCCAGCCGGAATAAAATCAACCTCTTCCCCATAGGGTTGAGGAGCCTGAGGATAGGCAGAAGCAGGAACGGGAGCAACCGGAGTAGTAGAGGCCCCATACGCCCAATGACCAGGCCCAGTCTCTCTTTCCCCGTCCGACTCATAGTCCTGCGGACCAGCCTCCCCCTCCTGCCCGTAGAATTGAGCAGGAGCAGGCTCCGGGGCAAAAGGACTGGTGGGAGCAAGAGGAGCAGACAGGGGACCGCGAAGGTACGCATCCCTGAACTGCCGCGAGTTCCTGCTCGCCTGGGACTGCTGGTTTACGCGCTTACTGGCAGCCGCACGAGACTTTCCCTGTGCTCTACCGCTTCTCTGCCCGTAGCCACCAGCTCCTGTTTCCAGTTCTGTCTGTTCAACGGGCTTTTGGAGGGTCCCGTTGTCAGCGGTTTCTGGATCGAGGTCTTGGGGGTACAGCTGCGCAGAGGTCAGCTGTGATTGAGGGAGGTGGGCATAGGGACTGCGATAGGGATCAGTGAGGAGATTGCCATAGGGATAGGGATCGGTTTCGACATAGGATTGAGCAGAAAGAGGAGCAAGACCGAATTCTTCTCGCTGTTGATCGGCATCGGCTTCGTAGTAGGATTGAGCAGAGCCAGGAGCAGCATAGAATCCTTCGTGCTGGGGGGTTTGAGAGACATAGGAGGAGGGATACAAATTGGGGGCAACATAATTCTGAGCAGGGATAGATGCAGAAACAGGAGCAGAGAGAGGAGCAGATGCTTCTTGCTGGGCTTGGAAAGCGTGACGGGTATAGGCTTCGATATCGACAAGGGGAGGAGGGGTAGCCCCGCCCTGCAGGGACTGGGAATAGGCACGGCGAGTCTGACGAACAGGCTCGTCGACGTTGGCTTCTTGTGCGGTGCGCTTGACCATTTTGAAGAAGCTTTGTGGAGGCAGTGATTAGGTGGATGGGGTTACAGGAAGTGATGGTGATAATGGAAAGTAGAGCAAAGCAAGTCAAAAACAAGATAGAGGAAAGTAGAGTAAAAAGGGGTAAGATGGAGCAGATTAGAGTAAAGCAAAGTAAAGCAACGGGATATCGATCTGGCTGATACTTAGCCTACGAGAGGAGTTCTCCTTTTCTTACCAACTCGTGGTTGAATCCGTTAGCTATGGATAAGTCCGGTTCTTGAGATGTTTGGATGAAGCAAAGCAAAGAGATATCGATCTGGTAGATAAGCTATGGCCCCAAATGGCATCTGTAATGAAGATGAAGCTGAGCAATGCAATGAGAGATAGATATAGACGAGAGAGAGCTAGTCTTCTCGAAAAGATCACATTTGAATGCGTTGCTTGTTGAGAGCTGAGTCGAGTTGAGGCGAATTGATGGAAGAGAGGAAGTTGACGATGGAGTGGAAAGTTCCCTATCTTTTATATTGGAGGTGGTCGTTCGAAATTCATACCAACAAGTGGAAGATTCAGTTAACTGCGCACCCCCACCTATTTATCTTCCTGGGACCTTCGTTTATTTTCCTGGATTCTTCATGGAATCTTTCTTTAGTCTGTATGGGACCCCAACGTCGTCCCAACTTTCTGGCGGAAAGCTCCAGGTAAACAAAGCCTCAGTGGACGACATAATGACATCAAAGCGCATGGGACTGAATTAGACAGTCTTCGAGATACAAGGCACCATTGTGGGAGACAATGCCAGTTGTCTGTCCGAGAAGGGCGATAATACATCAAAGACGAGGACATGTTTCTTTGTCGAGTCCAGCTGTGAGGATCGAGGAATAACGACGGTCACAATGTGCCTTTGTGGCATTAATGGGCTTTCTTTCACTTTCACCCCATCAATGTCTATGTCTGTAGTCTTTACCGGCTGATGAGAAAATGTACGAAGGACTTTTTCTTGTTCTGCATTGAGATACTAAGGGTTAGTTGACCTGGAGTAGAACTTGTAGATAGAAAGGAACGCACGAGAATAACAGATGCCCAAAAGTCTTGGATTCTTCCCTCCCTTCCACGCGGCTTCTAGCCCAAACCCACATCTTGTTGGGGCTCGCAAATCCCATGATTATAGTTCGTACGAGGCTCACATATCAGGCTGATCGACGGGTAGGATAGGCGGTCGGTCTATTCAGTTGTATCTCCAATCTTTCTGCCAGACAAGAAAATAGTGAGGGAAAAAAAAAAAAAAAAAAAAAAGACAGAAATGGAGAAGTAAAAGGGTCTAAGATACAGAACGGCATGTCCGAAACTATCCATTTGCTCCGGCATGCGATGTGAATATTAACAGACCGATCCTTTGAACAAATATATGCTGCCTTATGCTTTCCCTTCCATGTCAACTCCTTCCATGCTCATAGCCATAGCTCCAATACCACCGAGTTAGAATTCGAGAAAGACCATCCCAAAAAGCAAAAGATGTCAGAAAGATCAAGAGAGAAAAAATACAAGACGTGAGAAGCAGTCACGCTCCGTATCTCCATGCAGCGCCGTAGCACCAACCGGGGCCAGAAATCGTAACGGCGTGGGAGATGTGAAGCACAGTTCTCGAAGTTAGAGCATCAGAGTACACCACATTAAAACCAACAAGAAAATACAGGGTGAAGGCGGAAAGATACAGGGAGGACAGAAAAGAGAGGTTGAGCATGTTGATATGCCAAGAAACCTTCCGTAGCCCTAGATTAGTCAAAGTCGGAGCCAATCCAAAAACCATGCCACGGGGGAAACGCCTGTGGCGAATCATCGAAATACTCTCCCATTCTGTGCAACCATCTCAAAAATAACACTGCCTTCGTATCTGGAAGGCCCTCCATCTTCGAGCCAAGGTAAGAGGTTTTTGCATTGGCTGACATCGAAGGATTCTAGCTGATTACACCCGTCGGCAACAGCTTCAACGCCGGCACCGGTAACTCGAACGCAACCACGCACGGACAATCGTTTCAGGTGGAGAAGATGGAGACCGATACTGCGCAATGACGGGTCGGAGATTGCGGAGCCGCAAAAAGACATGTTGAGGTAGGTCAACTGGGAGCATTGAAGGGCCAAAACCTCCGTTGCTGTGTCAGATAAGGCGCAACAAAAAGACTGTCCGGTGAAAGCTTTGCATTAGCTTGCAACTTCCCACCAAAAGCAAATGAAAAAGAGAGAGAAAGAGAGAGAGAGAGAGAGAGAGAGAGAGAGAGAGAGAGAGAGAGAGTTGATAGACGAAGTATCTCACCAGGTCCAATTCTTGCAATTGTTTGGCGGAATTGGTCAGATGAACGATAGCTTGATCGGTCAAATAGGTACAGTCCGCCAAACAGAGTCTTCGCAAATTGGTGAATTGCGTATTCCCCCAGAATTGAAACCCCTGGTCCGTGATCGTTGTGCAGCGCGTCAGGTCCATTTCCTCAATGCGCGAAGCGGCATGGGATGCGATATGATGCATTGATCGATCGGTGACATGTTTGCAGTATGACAATGTCAGCCTCTTCAGTTTGGGGCAGCCATAGACAGTACCCGCTGCCGTGTGCATAGTAGGCCTTAAAATCGCCTTTCCTGTCTTTCCGGACTCTTCGCTGGTTTTATGTTGGCCGGGCACAAGCCATCCGACAATTCGAGCCAACAAGGTGTCTCCGACTTTTCGGCAGTTACTCAAATCAACTTCCTGTAACCCGCTCGCCTTGTTGGCCATTTCAAGAATAGCCGACGCTGTCACATCCCAGACACTCTTCATCTTCCAAGCAACAACATTGGAGCCACATGTGGCGATCAACTTGTTGAATCCTTCATCGGTTATGTGAAAACAGTTACTGATGTCGACATAACGAGGTCTGTTGCCAACGAATGGGCATATAATTTTCACAAGAACGTCATCAGTAACGCATCGGTTATATATGTTCAGGTCTAGATGTTGAAGCAGCTCAGTTGACTTGCTCAGAATCTCTGACCAGTGGAGGGAGACCGCACGGATGCGCAGGAGGTGATGGAGCTCGAGGTTGCGGAATACGGTCAGAAGAATACTATCGGGAAGAATGCCGCGGTTGTTTTTGTGCGGTTCTCGTTGAGTCTTGGGTGTCGATATGGCTGCCTCTGGGAGTGTGAGGAACGATGAACTCGCAGATCGCGGTTCTGATGGAGGCGACGGTCGCTGCTGTTCCCCGGAAACCTCCTCGGGCGTCAGCGGAGCGACAGAGCCTCGTCGACTACGAAGGCGGACTTTGTCCAGTCCAACGTTGAGAAACGGATCGGGATCGGATGGTCGCAAGACAGCCTGTTCATCAATGCCATTCGGCTTCAGAGGAGCATCCAGTTCCGTCTCCGTGAGCGTAAGCATTGGCGGCATCGACTGTCGCCGTGGACCGCCGATTTGCGGATATCCGTCGCCTAGGGACTTTGTGACATCCCCGGCTTCAGACATTACGACATCCCCATCAGCCGCCGAATCGAGTCTTTCTTTGGCCGTCTTCTCGACTTGCTGTCGAACATCCTGGGGGCATTTCTCCCACAACTCTGTCAAGACATCACCGCCAATCATCAAGCACTCGACCGCATTGATCGAGCGTACCGTTGCCGTTCGACGAGGTGCTAATGAAAGACTCACCACCTCCCCAAAATATTGACCTTGCTTTAACCGGGCTTTAACTTCAAATCCGGGCCGCTCGATGGTGTTCGGTAGGGAGTGGGAGTTCTGAGGCTTGGCACATTCAGACAGGACTTCCACCTCACCCCGAACAATGAAATAAATTTCTCGGCCTTGGGAGTCCTGCTTTATTATATCGGTAAAGGGAGGATACGATCGTGGTTGCGCATTCAGACCCAGGAAGTGCAGAATATCTGGCGGAAGGCCGGAGAACAAGGGCAACTCCCTCAACAGAAGCCGGACACTAACTAGTCCATTTGCCAGTGCACTCGACGACCCGTCGGCCAGTCCAGGGCTTGGGGACTTGCGCTTCTTGTTCACCGATTTTAGGATTGTGCCATCACGCTCAGTGAGTGACATGTCTCTAATGAAAGCATCTCGCAGTCGCTTTGACCCTCGGCGAGCCGGCTCATCAATGTCGGCCGGGGGTACGGATGTCTCCTTTTTCTTCTTTTCCAGGATCATCAGCCGCTCCTGGGCTTCCTCGCGGATGGCCTGCTCGACCGTGGGGAAGCGAGGGAGAATGTTCCTAAAGTCCTCCTTTGTCAATACCACCAAAAGGCATCGCGTGCGCGCAACTATAGTAGCCGTCCGTGGACGGTCCATCAGGACGCCAATTTCGCCGAAAAAGGCGCCCGACTCAAGCTCTGCATATATACTCTCGCCATCGCGGGACGTCACCGACACCGCACCTCGCACCAGCCAATATATCGCTTTGGCCTCATCGCCCTCGGTCAATATATAATCGTTGGCTGCATGGAGCTGCGGCCGAAGATGCTGACCGACCGCGAACAGGAAAGATTCCGGAGTAGACTGGAATAGCGGGAAGGAGCGCAGTCGGTCGACCAGGTCCAAAGGCAAGGCCTGGATATTCGAAGATGCCAGCGGCGAGGGACGTACAGGGCGATTCGGGTTCGTCACGGAATCGAAGGAATGGATCAACGAGACGGTGTCGGAGACGGGTGTGACGGCCTTGGTGGAACCTCCACTGGATCTATGGCGTCGCATGATGTGAGTATCGAGGAGATATGGCCGAAAAGGAGATCAAGGAATTAAAGGTATAGTATAAGATGAAAAGCACGGGAAAGAAAGGGATAATTTCTTTCAGTGGTCGCATATAATTGGGGCATTCAATGGGCCGATGACGTCGACGAGAATTGAAATCACGGGGGGGGGGGAGCTTTCAGAAATGCATTTCCAGCCCAAGATCGCGCGGGGGAGAGCGGGAGCTATCAGTAAGGGACGAACATCTGAGAGCGAAGCCAGCGATTGGGGTAACGATGATGAAGAGAGAGTGGGAAAGCCTGGAGGGTCGCCGTGAGGGAGTCAGTAAGAACGAGCATGGTTATTGAGAAGTGAGTCTCGGTCAAGGGAAGCTCAGAGCGAGCAGCGGCCAGAAAGATGAAAGCGGGGATCACCAACGTCAAATAATGCGGTCCTGCTCCACCGGCAAGTCAGTTAGTCAGCCTCACCGCTTGAGACACGCCCGCTTTGTTGATGGGGTTAAAAATAATTTCAGAATTATGCCACAAAGGACAGGCAGTCGCTTTTTGTTGTCTCCCACGAGAAACTGAAATCAAAATAAAAAGATCTCTCGGGACAGGATCCTCGGAGAACCCTTGTTCAAGTGGGGTGCTCGAAGGAGGGAGAAATTCGGCAGCTGCGAACACAGACCGAAACAACGGCGGTCTGCAATAAGAGATATCTTCTGAACAAATAATCCAGATTAATAACCCCCTGTGGTGCCCCCCAAGGCTCTCTCACACCTGTCAATGGCAGTCGTCCTCAATCGTAGATTCTGCGACGCAGAGAGCGAGGAACGGTGGGCGGGGTGGGTGAGAGCGAGCTGAAGTCAAGGGAGGCATGGGAATCGCGCGTGGTACATGCGTACAGTACGGTGCTGACTGACCAGTTCGGACTAGTAGCTGCTTAGTTCGCCAGGCTAATTGATCAGCGATGCCAGAGATCGTCAGGTCACAGAGTGCCCATAGCCGAGATATGAGGGGTGGATGCTTGATTGACTGCGGCTGCATTGGTTCTGTTAGGCCATGCATAGGCCCTATGACTGTGGGAGTTTGGGAATTCTTGGTCTCGAAGGTGCCTTTTGAAATTCGCGTCTGACATTCCGAGTAGGCCTCCAGGTCGCCATGCTCAAGATCAGAAGGAAAAAAGAAAAATCTCTATAGTATGACGGTGGTACCCATCGATATTGCGTGAGCACAGGATCAGCCCGTGTAATATAAAAAAAGGTCTCCACTTGCTTTCAGTGTTCTTCACTTCTTTGTGACTGAAACTCGTCGATTCAATCGAGATCTCATCCGTCCGCTCTACCAAGCGTGGTTGATTAAGAATAGCGGCGAAGATCCGCAGGGGCCACCTTCGGCTGCCAGATGTCAAAAAGTCACGTCTGTGCGATAAAGAACGGGCACCTTGGGATACACGACACCGAGAACTACGCAATTAGCATCTGCAACTCGGTATGAGGCTGTGAGCGGAAGCTAGTCTTGCTAGGTAGCTCTGGATAAACCTAATAGAAGTTTAAATTCTTACAAGCGACCAAACAGCCCCTGCCCAGCTAACTAATTGCTATAGCGTCGGTATTTACTATTTAGTGACACTTCTCAAACCAAGACCCGTCGGGACTCCTTTCTAGCGGCAATACCCATGTACCAAGTCCATAACCTTAAACGTTGTTCGTCCATCGTATGATGTCGCCGGCAAATGGGGTACGGGTGATGACAACAACCCCTATGAAGCACGCATCGGTATCTCTCAAGATCATGCTCCGCTTCGGTGGTGTCTAGATTGAGCCTCGGGGTTCTTTATATTCGGGCTTAAACGCACCCGAGGGAGGTCGTAGTAGTTAGAGTAGAGAGACGTCATATGGAGAAGCTATTGTTGCTTCCAGAGCGCTAGTCTTGATGGAGTTAAGTATAGCGTACACCCATCAATTCAAGGTATCCCTTAGCCCGCGCCGATTCTGGCATTGAGGTATCTTCTCAGCACCAGAGGACGACGTCATCCGGGATCTTGCGAGATTCGTGACGTGACTTCATAATTGGCGAAAGAGGCAACAATCTGCTCGGTCCTCCTATTCACTCCGCCTTAGACAGGCGATCTCCTAGTATGAAATCAACGTATTTGGGCCGTTTGCCCTTCAGGGTCTCGAGAAGGTCCTGCATCAAGCCGTATGCCAGGCCGAACTTCAAGCCGAACTTCGCCGTGCGGGCAGCCGTGTAAACATCGTGTCGGGCTAAAACGAGAAGCATCCGTTTAGCATATATACCGAGGGTGAAAGGGGAGTGAACCGAAAGTAAAACCAAAGGGGGCCTCTGAGAACCAACCTAGTAGACTGTAAATGCCTGAGAACGTCAATCCCGCCGTGACCGTAGACAAGAAATCTCGGTCATTCCGGGCTTTGTCCACCGTTTCTTCGAAGAACCCGAACGCAAGGGCGCCCGCACCTAGCTTGCCTCCCATCTTGAATCCCTCCTTGACGGCCGTCACCAAGCGCAGGTTGCTTTTATCCTTGTGGTACAGAAACCATCCTTTATTCGTCGTGGGGAAACGGTGCGCGTTTTCGGCGCGAAAGCGATAGGAGGCCGTCTGACTCCCGTGGAAGGCACCGATGCCCATACCCGTACCGAATGTAGCCAGGGCGATGTACGGTAGTCGTTGGTCCGGCTTTAATCCGAATCGCGCATTGGGGTCGTCTGATGCGCGTCTTTCTTGCGGTTTTGTTGATTCCATCTCAACAGCGCTCGACTGCTGAGAGTCCATTGTGGGTGATTGGTGGGCGGAATTCTTGCGAACAAACGATTTTCAAGCTGGAAATAGCACAGTAGTGTTTGCTCGTAGGCGACGCTAGTCTGTGGCGTCAATCGGGGTCATTGGGGTTGGGTTGGGATTTTGTGTCGCCGTTGCGTTTGGGGGAGGAAGTGAGATCACGCTCGCTCTCCAAATTCTCCCCGACTTCCGGACCGCTTGAAAAGCTTCGAGGACCCGCCAGAGCTCGGTGACCAACCACCAGCTCAACTCTACACAATGGTACGTTAGTCTTCTAAAAACCTTTCTCGTTGTTCCGAGAGAGAAAAATATATAAATTCTTTTCCTAACAAAAATGCCTCAACAGTCGCAAGTTGACCCTTTGAGCTGGACACTCCTCTTCAAAAAGCACAAGACCACCGTGCTTCTCACGCTCCCGCCTTCCGAATCAATCATCACCGTCAAAGCCACCCTCCTGAAAGCTCTTCAATCTCGCGAAATTAAAGAGATCAACGGCGCCCCCGTTCCTGAAGACCCCTCCGAGATCGAATTCGGAGTGGCCGTGGACAAGAATGATCTAGAGAAAGGGTGGACGAGGCTGGAGCCTGACATTTCGCAGTTCGACGACGACGATGACGACGAGGCCCCCAGGCGAGGCGCTGGGAAAAATACAGCCAGCTCTCTAACTCTCCAGTCGGCCGAATTGCGGAATGGACAGTCTATTGCTTTCCGGTTCCAGGAGCCCAAGGAGAACGGTGGGGCGGAAGATGATATCACGTTAGAACTCGAGGATCCTGGATGGGATGTTGTGCTTCCCAGCCTGGACGAGGAAGAAGAGGAAATGAACTGAAGCGGGCAGGGGGGACATACTCGGCGCAGGACTTATGCGGGCTTTAGTATACGGCGTTCATGTTCTTTCTCGAAATTTATAGGGTATGTAGCGTGAAAGGCAAACCAGGGGTTTTCATGATGAAGTGATGTGTATATCCCCTAATCAGAGGGATTTCCAGGCAGGAATCAACCCAACTGAATTATCATCAAAGGTATAAGCTCTTGGTTCATCAGAGAGGCAGGGGTGCAGAGATACTGTACTCTGGAGTAGCATGTATGGCTCGAACGTGCCACGACCTTTGGGCGGTGCTGAGGGAACTGTAAGGAGTATGTAGGTACTAATCTCGGTCTCGGTAGCCCATATTGATGTCATTTTGCTATCTGCAAGTCTCAACAAGGATTGTTGTTTGATTTATTCTCATTCAACCCAAACCATTCGAAGTATATTCTCCAGCAATCCCACTTTCACCGGCCATCCGCAAGACAAAGGTGCGTGGGTATGCCGAGCGAATGCCGTGGCAATGTCAGAAATCCAGACAGAAGCTCAAAGAATTAGGTTTTGCTTAAGGGTTTGAATATTGCCACTCTCTTTCAACAACTCGTCTCCGTGGCGCAATTGGTTAGCGCGTTCGACTGTTAATCGAGAGGTTGTCAGTTCAATCCTGACCGGGGACGTTCTTTTTTTCTTCCTCTCTCAATCGAGAGGCTGTGATTAATCCTCACCCGGAACGTTTCTTTTTTTTTTTTTTTTTTTTGGAACCGTTTCATGCTATCCAGCGCCTCTTAGCGATGCCTCTTTTTGAGGTCTATTGCTGTATAAACCTATCGCCGACAAGGAAGCATCAAATTTGAGATTACGTCGTCCAACCACAACAATCTTACCAGGGCTGAGTTGCACATTCAGATCTCCCGAAATAGAATGCCTCCCAAAGAGAGCTACTGTTACCAATGGACAATAGCTTACGTCTTTCTTGTCTTAAGAGTTTTCTGCCAATGACCATAATAATGGGGTAAGTGTCCACGGCAGCGAAAAAAGGATGAGAGTCTAAGAAAAAGGCTCTACTAGGACTATATATGTACCGACAGTAATAGACATCCACGGCTTCCACTGTCTAGGAGAGCTGGAGATAAGCGGTCGTACACTATAACTAGTATATAGTAAACTCTCTCCTCTCTCTGCATGATGCACGCGCACACACGCACCACACAATCAACATTGCCATCGCAAATGCCATCGAAGTGGTGCATGTCCAATTTTCATAATATATAACTTATTTGGATGTAGAGGCAGGCTGGGGTGACCAATATCCTTCAGGTAGTATATTGTTTTTGTTTCTACACGGGAGTTCATGACTAGTACTTAACTAAATAGAGTTACCCGTTATATATTTATGTGAGGGGTGGATGATTTGCATGCTTGAGGTGCACTCCGCCAATTTCCACGGAGCGTTTCAGCTGAAGTCACGCGTCCGGGCCGGTTGCTCGGAGCAACGCCAAATGGAAAACACCGCCCGTGTCAACAGTCAACCAGGTGGCTTGAAAGCTCGCACTAGACCATTAGAAAACCCAACAGGCGACAATCTCTGGGGATAGATCCACCCAACATTCTTCTTTAATGGACTCCTGAGTCGTCTCTTTTCGATCATCATCGCCATCTCGCCAATTCGCCCTTAACCTCGCCGACGGTGTAGGGGCGCCGCAGGGTACTTCGATATCGGCCCCCCCGCGTTGAACTTCTTATCCGACCTTTACGACCACCAAAACAGCCGCATTTTCGACATGATGGCTGCCTCTAGCGATTCGTCTTCGATCAATGTCTCCGTCCGAGTGAGACCGTTTACCATCCGTGAAGCGGCTCAGATCTCGAAATGCGAGGGTGGCCCCTTGTTCCTAGGGGAAGGCTCCTTGGCCGGTGCTCCGGCGCCCAAATTGAACCAGAAGGGCCTTCGATCAATTATCAAGGTCATCGATGATAGATGCTTGTGAGTGTAGTCCTATTGCGCCCCTATCAACACCATAGAGCATCGATTGACTCAAGTGTACTTCCAGAGTATTCGACCCCCCTGAAGACAACCCTATACAAAAGTTTTCTAGAAGTGTCGTTCCCAACGGCAAGCGCGTGAAAGATCAGACCTTCGCTTTCGACCGGATCTTCGACCAAAGCGCCTCCCAGGGCGAAGTGTATGAATCGACTACCCGGAACCTCCTTGACAGTGTCCTCGACGGCTACAATGCGACCGTGTTTGCGTACGGTGCGACCGGATGTGGTAAAACCCACACGATCACAGGCACGGCACAGCAACCGGGTATCATCTTCCTTACGATGCAAGAGCTATTCGAGCGGATCGAAGAGAGATCCGAAGAGAAACATACCGAGATCACTCTATCGTACTTAGAAATTTACAACGAGACCATCCGTGACCTCCTTGTGCCAGGAGGCAGCAAAGGAGGATTGATGCTGCGCGAGGATAGCAATAAATCCGTTTCCGTGTCTGGATTGTCGAGCCACCACCCACAGAGCGTGCAGCAGGTGATGGATATGATCATGAAAGGCAACGAATGTCGCACCATGTCACCCACGGAGGCAAATGCCACATCTTCACGATCCCACGCTGTTCTTCAGATCAACGTTGCCCAGAAAGATCGCAACGCCGACATCAACGAACCGCATACGATGGCGACCTTCAGTATCATCGATCTGGCGGGCAGTGAGCGAGCGAGCGCTACCAAGAATCGGGGTGAAAGGTTGTTCGAGGGTGCAAACATCAACAAGTCTCTGCTGGCCCTGGGAAGCTGTATCAACGCCCTTTGCGATCCTCGAAAGCGAAACCATGTGCCTTACCGAAACTCCAAGCTCACCCGTTTGCTAAAATTCTCGCTCGGTGGTAACTGCAAAACAGTGATGATCGTTTGCGTCAGTCCCTCAAGTCAACATTTCGACGAAACCCAAAACACCCTGCGTTATGCGAATAGAGCGAAGAACATCCAGACCAAAGTTACGAGAAACGTGTTTAATGTCAACCGCCATGTTAAAGATTTTCTGGTGAAGATCGACGAACAGATGGCCCTAATCAATCAACTGAAAGCCCAGCAAAAAGATCATGAGAAGATCGCCTTTGCTAAATTTAAGAAACAAACCGAGAAGAAAGACCTGGCCGTGCGCGAAGGAATTTCTCGGATTCGCACTGCCTACGAACATTCATCGCCGGAGAGGCAGGAAAGGACGAACAATATGATAAAACTAAAACAGGTTAGCCGCAGGATCGGCTTGTTGTCGTCCTGGATCGCTGCTTTCGACAATGTGTGCGAGAATGCGGAGCTCGAACCGCCATTGTCGAACCTACAGGCGATTCGGAAGACCGCCCAGGGAATTCTCCTGGAGCTCGAGGGTAGCCGACAACACTATCACCAACGGTTTGCGAAGAGCAATTGGGATCGAGGCCTAAACTCTGCCGTCGAGAATGCTATCCGCCAACTCCAGGATTTCGACATCTGCGACAAGAGCGACCATGCCAACTTGCAACGCGAGGCAGAACTCCTGAAGTCAAATACCGAACGGGAGGCGTTAACCGCAGTGGCCGAGCAAGATAAAGCTGGGGAGGCAGCCACCCTGCAGATACTTCTGCAAGCTCAATTCGAGACGGTTTCTGCCATCGAGAACATCATGCAATTGAACGAGGACGAAGCCGTTGATGAAGGAAAGAAAATCCTCACGAAGATGCTCACTTCGTGCTCCAACGTGGCAGCCAGTGTTGTGAAGCCCGACGGCAACCTACCGTCTTTACATTCTGTCAGCCCTGTTAAATCCGGCTCTCCCAAGAAGAAGAGACCGAGTATGGCCCATGTTCCGCCCGGCAAGACGCTGAGCGCACCGATTAGCTTCACACCGGCAGCACCGCCTTCGCCTACCAAGGGCTCTCCGCGGCGCCGGAAGATGGGCGGTGTTGGGCGAAAGAGCGTCAGCTTCTCACCCAAGAAGTCCGTGTCTAAAACCACGAAGCGAGGTGTCCGCTGGAGGGACGACGAGGAAGATGGTACCTTGACGGAATTCCAAAAGACCCCACAAAAGCTGGGAGCCGCCCTTGCTATTCCTGAAGGAAGTCCTGCCGATCCTCCACTACCTAGAACCTCCCCCATCCCCCGTGGAATCCCCGTGCCCACGCGAAACTTCAGCCCTCAATACGCCTCATCGCCGGTGTCTGCAGCCCCGGAACCGACCTTGAATGTTCAAAAAAACGCCAACCGATTCAAGGCCGGATTCCTCGCAAAAAAGACCAGCAGCTCTCCGATTGCCCCTCCTCCCACAACGACGCTACCCCTGTCCGACAACGAAAATTCTCCTCTCCGCGACATCGAAGGTAGCAGCTTCTTGAATCGCGCATCTTCCGAACGCCCCTCGAGAATTGCAGTTCGTACCTCGAGCGGGGGCTATAGCAGTCCCATTTCGGACAGTAAGGACAGCTGGAAAGCAAACAAGGACGACGCCATGCGTATCAATTCGGCTATGAGGCGCATCTCCGGGGGGCAGTTTGGCACCGGGCCTTCTGCCAATACTCTTCGGGTTCACCGTCGCCGAAGCCCGGGATCTGCCACCTATGGCAGCTCGCCCCCTGAAAACACCATGTTCACGGCGCAAGCGAGACGAATCGCCAAGACCGATAAAGAGGCCGAGTCCAAGCCCCGAGTCTTGAGCCCTCGAACTATCCCCATCATGAAAAACACCGGCCATCGTCGGACGACGTTCGGTGGGGATATGCGCCCTCGAGACATCAGCCTCAACAGCCGAGACGCCATCAGGCTTAGCGTGATGGCCACGCCACGCATTGAGAGGTCCTCGGAAAACTCATATCCTACCTCCAGTGCCGGACTGTGGTAATTTTACATTGTCGTTATTTTTGCCGAATTTGTTGGGGTCTTTTGGGTCATTGGAACGGTGTTTTTGGGGGAAGTCAGATACCATTTGCTTTTTTTTTTTGCACCCCCTTTGGCCAGGAGTGTACCGTTTGGTTCTGGTTAACCCTCTTCACTCCTTGGTTTCGTCTATTTTGCTCTTGAGGGTGCGCGCTTCAAACATGTCGTGGCTTTTCATTTTCTCTTCTATGTTCATGTTTCTTTTTTGTATTGTACGGCATATATTAGGGGTTCTCGGGAACGTGTACAGTATCAGACCTACAACAAACTTTTCTTTTTTCTTCTTCTAGAATGTTTGGAACTCTTCTCGTAGGGAGATCTAGATGAGGCGATGTCAGCATTGGCTGGTGGAATTATGTCATTCCTCGGGATGACGCCACTGAAAAGCTTCCCCGCCATGACAAATTCGGCATTTGCCAGAGAAATGAGCTGCTGCGAATATTTACCCTCGTTCCTGGACTTGCATTGTCTTGCCCTCGACTTCATCTTGGAAAACCCCGCGATTGTCACCTCACCTGTTGTCGTTTCAGTTCTGACACCCCTCCCGAGATAATCTTAACTCCGTGCCCCTCCGCGGAGACTAAAAAATTACAACCCACTCGTTGTACGTATTAAAAAAAAAACCCCCAATGACCTTCGCCGCGTCCGCCTTCGCTCCGACTTTGTTCTCACGATTCTTCCGTCCCTTCTCGACTAGCTCGCCCTTTCTATCACTGACCGCTGAATCTCGTTCGCGCAACATGTCCGACGCCACGCAGAGAGCCACCTTGGCCGCCGGTTGCTTCTGGGGCGTGGAACACCTGTTCCGCAAGAACTTTGGAAACGGAAAGGGTCTCCTGGAGGCCAAAGTAGGATATTGCGGTGGAAACACGGCGTCTCCTTCATATCGCGCCGTGTGCGGCGGCGATACGGGTCGTAAGTTGCCACCTGTCTATTTACCTCCACAGGTAGACCATATCCCCAAAGACAGTCGGGATTTACTAATAGTCAATCACACTAGATGCCGAGGCCCTTGATATCACCTTCGATCCCTCCATCGTTACCTACCGTTCCCTCCTCGAATTCTTCTATCGCATGCACGACGCCACGACCATGAACCGCCAGGGCCCTGACGTCGGAACCCAATACCGCAGCGTCATATTCACGCACGGCGACGAACAGGAGAAGATCGCCCAGGACGTGACAGAGAAGGTGAGCCAGGAGTGGTACAAGCAGCCCGTTTCGACCCAGGTCGTGCCGGCGGCGCAATGGTGGGACGCGGAGGAGTACCACCAGCTCTATTTGAACAAGAACCCCGCCGGATATGAATGCCCTGCTCAGTATGTTGCCTAGCCTTGCCTTGCGTTTTTGGAGTTGGATTTTGGGAGTCGTGGTAAAAGTACAGTGCTAACTAACGGTTTGTGTGTAGCTTCGTGAGAAACTTCCCTCCATTGTCTGCTTGACTTGGGGCTAGAATATGAGATACGAGGGATGGAAGGGAATTTTTACTTTAATGCACGGGTGCTTCATGCGCTTAGGGATGGTGACCTGATAACTTTTTGTGGCGAAGGTTTGATCCGGAGGCATGGGTTGACCTGTATGTACGCTCAGGGAAATGGGAGTTTGTAAATTCGAAATGTGATATCTATAAATACTGTCTTTCTCATTGACAGTGATTGTTGTTCCTAGCCAATGGTTTCTCCCGCACTTGATGTACCTGTGTCATCTACCATTCACATATAATTGGGCTCTTATGTTCATTGTATGAGACTGGTCAGTTCAGTTTATATGCTGGGTCCATTCGACTCGCTCAGATAACTCGTTGGATATCGTGATAGACGTGGCAAGTACGTCTTCTTGATTTGTACCCCTTCTTTCATGTTAGCTCATTGATAGTTCAAGTTGCCTTGATATCTAGAAAAACAAACCAGTGTCTGCATATCTAGGGAATAAATAGCATTGAGGGAGGCAACTATTGGTTGTAAAGCAGAAGTCATGCTACAAGGAAGTAGGTAAGTATTCACTCATCTCTGTATAATGGAACGGTCCACGTGAACACAACACAAATGAGAGGAGCAAGACTCAGCTTTCTAGCGATTGGAAAGATTGCCAATGTCGTAGGTGTCATCGCGCACAGACTTGCCCTGGAAGCGTGAATTGTAGCTTTAGAAGTGAATGTTACTAGCGTCAAGATGGCTGGCAAGATGAAGATGCAACCATGTTGTAGTTGGTGTCTGTAAGTCAAGGAAGATTCCTCAAAAGGAAGGGAGATGGGTTGGGCGGCCTCAGGAAGAATCGAGACCAACGTTTACGTTTATTCACTCGCGGTAACTACAGCAGCTGTTTCCATGCCGATTCATCCCACAGCTCACTCTTCTCTTCCCAACTTCCTTCACCTTTCCTCTCACCCTCTTCCTCCCCGGTGACCTTCCCTCCACCCCATTATTTCTCTTCTCTTCTCTCCTCCCCTCTTTCTTTTCTTTACCCCCTTCTCTTGAAAACTCCCGATACGACGATCTCTGTTCCTTTGCGTTCTCCTTTTATCTCTAGTCCCTTATCTCTGTTTCCTTGTTCTTCAGACAATACCGTCTCCATATCGTCTTGTCTTCCCAAGTAGAGTGAAGACAGACCCATCCAAGGCTTCCACCTCACAAAGGTGGCCGTGATCATCATCAATAGTCACCACTTTCTGTTTTGAATTAGCCTCATTGTCTCTTTCCAATTCCCATATCACCCTCTCTATAATCACTGTATTCGTGAAGAGATCGCCAGTCAGAGGACCATTTTTCTTGAGCCTTTCCCAGGCTTCGAACGAAAGGTAAGTCGTGGTCCATTGCAAGGTGTGTCAGTCCACCAGCTCATCTAGTCTCGCGACCGACAGAAAGCAGAGCCCTTTGCGTATACCTCCCTGCCACATACGAGTACTCAAAGGTCTTATACCTCACCCGGAACCACCTTAGTCGTTCCCTAGGTTAATCAAAGACCACACTCGAGATGTCGGCCTTTTCCATCGACGAAGCCATGGCTGATGCCTTGGAGAATCTCAACCGCATTTCTTGCCATGTAGGTGACCGGCAAGCCCTCCCAAGCGTGTCATGTGCTGATTTTAGCAGTTCCGCAAGCATGAGCTGCACAATTCTGCGAATAAAGTCGGAAAACTGAGCGTCCAGATCGTGAATGCATTCTCCGAAGGCATTGAACATCTGTCGCCTGATGAATATATCTTCGGTGATGTAAGTCCCAATTCATCTCCCACCCACAGATCTTAATACCTAGACACTAAGTCTCGCTGGTAGGAGGGTAAGGATTATCAGAGCACCGACGCTGGTCTTTCCAACCCTAGTATCTCCGATACTTTTCAGAGATATAACTTTTCTAGTCTCGTGACCCTGATCGAGAGAATGACCAAGGAGAACGTTGGCAACAAAGATGTCGGCATTAAGGCGAATTTCGGCAACATGGAGAACGTCGGCGGCCATATCGACATGCTGCAGAAAGTCTCTACTACTGACGAGCATCTCCCACAGCAGCAGCCGCCCGGAAGCTGGGCCCAGGTCGCCGGCACCAGTGCCACTTCCGTGTCAGGTCTTCCAATCTATTGTCCAGAGACAGCCCATTACATGTCTCCCCTGTCTCTGACTACGGCCTCCGTATCCAGGCAGAGTCAGAACAGTGATGAAGATGGTACTAGTGATCCCCAGCTTCCGGGCCTCGGGGTTGCCTTACCTTCCACCGCCGTGGCGCCTGAGGTCCCCGAGGCCAAGGCAGGGGTCATCCGCATCTACGGAAGAATCTCAAAGGACCTCATCCAGTTCATCACCACTCGTATTCACGAGGGTCCGCTGCAGGACGTTCGCCTGGAGACCAACGGAAGAACACGGGTGACCTTCCAACATGCGTCTCACGCGCTTGCCTTTTTGAAGTCCAACCAGGAGATGGAGCAGATGCTCGGCTTTGGACGCTTTGGATGCGGCTATCACGTTGAGCTGGCCGAGATCCTTGATTGGAACGAAGATCTCTGTCGCATGAATCAACCGATTCGCGAGCGCCGCCGCCTCTCTTTTGCCAGAAAGAGACTTTTTGCCGAGAACATGTCCCCCGAGAAGTGGAAGCAGGACGTGCGCACCTTGGCCGGACCCGGAAACATTGACTTCCTTTGGGTCTTCAATTCTGGAAACGGTAAGCGAACCCTTTCTGGACAGGGCAAAGTGAGTCCCCTACCGTAGACAGAGCAACTGACTGATGAGTCGTACAGCAACCGCAATCTTTACGAGCACCGTAGTTGCTCGAAAGGTCCTCGAGGTGTTCAATAGATGGAAAGACGGCCGCAACGTGTATAGTGGGGTTTCCGTGACTTTCTCCTCGGATCCCTGCGAAAAGGAGTTAGTCCTCGTCAAGGAGACCTCTCGCTCCGGCCTGGCTAAAGGCTACATGAAGAGATCGATGCGTTGATCTCCCTTTAGCCTAGATGGCCGAGTTTGATTTTTGGACTTTGGAGGCCATCCTATCCGATCATATCATCCAGCATCTCTTTGAGATTGCGATTCCTTACGGGAGCAGAAAACCAAAAAAAAAAAAAAAAGTTTTCAAAGTCAAGGCAAGAATGTACGCAGGTTGGACGACATTGAATGGGGTTGTATTCTCATTATTCTCATGTATGCAAATGTGCGGATTGTTTAGTCCAGCTGTTTAGGAAGGATGAATAACTATGATTTTTGCCTAATCCCCGGCGCTGTCCTAGTCACTCCTTTTATGAGACCTATTTAGCGCATCCCCACATATACCACATCTGGGGTTGTAGCTCAGGGGTAGAGCGCTCGCTTCGCATGCGAGAGGTCAGGGGTTCGATTCCCCTCAACTCCATACTTTTTTGCTTTTAATATTTTTGATGATTGACCATAGAAAGGAAGAGGATGGCCGGCCGTTGAGTGTTCCGGGGGATGAGGATGACGGGAGAATGCGGGGTTATCCCTACAGTCCTTCCGGATACTGCTGTCACCACTTACACTCTCCGATTGTCTCAGGAAACCTGACATGAAACTGCATTAAGCTACTTTTGGTTGCCGGGTGGGAACATCTCTACTTCATGAGTGTATGGTAAATTACCTTACCATGTGATAACAAGACATCTGGGAAGTCCGTGCCTTCCAATCGGTTGGCTAAAAGCAAGTTGTCACACCCTTGTCCATCAGCCGCGCCAGCTCATCGAAGAGCGGGGTTACTTTTTTCCATCAAAAGGAGGACAGTTGCTGGCGATTGCCAACAGTCAAAGATATCCCTGCACTAGCAATCTTACCCTGTTCCTCCGAGATTCCCCTGAAATCTGACACCTTCCTCAACCCATCCGCTTAAAGAGTATCATGACTCTTATGCCATTATAAGCCAACGATAAGATACAGTGTCTCCCCAGCATCAGCATGACCGAATCTCCACGAAAGTTAACTCACGGCGACTACACTGTCGGCTGGATATGTGCTTTACCGAAACGGAGCTGGCAGCTGCCATGGCCATGTTGGATGAAAAGCATCCTGTTCTCCCAGCAGTTGATCCACAACATGATTCGTACGCCCTTGGTAGAATTGGTGATCATAATGTGGTGCCTGCTTGCTTGCCAGCAGAAACAACAGGGAAGGTATCTGCTGCTACTGTTGCTAAAGACATGATCCGCAGTTTCCCAGCTGTCAGATTTGGGCTGATGGTGGGAATTGGGGGTGCGGCACCTTATTATGGTGCACGGGGAGATAACAATTCTGCGAGGATTAAAGGAGATAAATCTGAAGATGATAAAGACTCCGAGGAATCTGAAGACGATCCAGAAGATATACAAGACATACGACTTGGTGATGTAGTGATTAACCTTCACTCAAAGTCCTCTGATGCCGTTGTGCAGTATGATTTTGGGAAGTCATTACAACAAAGGGAGTGATACTCCACTTTTGAGAGCAGTCAAGAATGGGCAAGAGGCTATCGTAAGGCTGCTGCTTGAGGAGAATGTGGATATCGAATCCAAGGATTCATTTAGGCAGACTCCACTGTGTCAGGCGGCTGAGAACGGACACCAATCTATAGTAAAGCTGCTGCTTGAGAAGAATGCCGATGTTGAGTCTAAGGGTCATTTTGACGATACCCCAATCTTGTTGGCGGCTGCGAATGGACATGAGGAAGTGGTGAAGCTACTTCTTGCAAAAGATGCCGATGTGGAATCGAAGAGTACCGAAGGTGACACCCCACTCTTATTAGCCGCCAGAAATGGAGATGAGAAGGTGGTAAAGCTGCTCCTGGAGAAGGGTGCAGATATTGAGGCTAAGGAGGAGTTCCGGGGCCAGACTCCACTTTCATTATCAGCTGATGGAGGGTACGAAGCTGTGGTAAAGCTCCTGCTTGACATGGGCGCCAACATCAACACTAAGGATGACAAAGGCCGGAAACCTCTCTTATTGTCTGCCGCACATGGGCATGAGGAGGCTGTGAAACTGCTGCTTAACAATAATGCTGTTGCTGACGTGACCTCGCTTGTATCAGCGGCTGAAAACGGCCACAAGGAGGTAACAAACCTGCTGCTAAGACAGATACCAAGGTGGAGACAAACGAAAGCTATAGCCAGATTCCGTTCGAAGTGATTCAGATTTCGTTCAAAGTGGCAGCTGAGGGAATACAATAGACGGGGGAATCTAAAGCTATTATTACATAATTATTGATTGGCAAGCTTTTACCGGACTACTTCCGTATCATCAAATAAGGATAAAGTATTGTCCTTCCTTCCAGGCTCAAGGCTGGCAATAGAATTCTCACCATCCCCTTATGTGTTGAGTATCCTCCGAACCATAGATAAATCGCCTCTTTCATTAATTCCTAACAAAGGCGAGTGGTACAAATATGCTAATAAGAACGCCTACGGGTCAGGAGATGTTGGTATTGATACCATCTTAGCGACGAGAACCCCCCAAGTGTTTGCCCAGTTTGCATGGAACATTCCAAGATTGCCCGGCTCGGCCCCGACGATAAACCCGGTAGTATCAGGCCTAAGAGCCAGATAGCTGAGTGGGTTCTAAGTCGGTCCTCAAGATTTCTCGAGCAATTTCTGCGCAATTATATTATAGTGATGCTTTTTTGCCAAGTTCTTGTTATAGCATATGTCCATACCTTATAATAATACCATGGAAAAATCATTTTTCGGTCTTCAGATCAAATGTAACTTAGTCTGGTTTTGGCTTAGGGCTACAGAGATAAATCCTGTATATGTTATCTTAAATTACTATACTGGTTTTTTACGGGGAAAGATATCCATCCGCTCCAGGCCAGATAAGGTTTAGCTTGGTTTCACATCAGGACTCCAGATACAAGAGAAGAGTATTTCGCGGTGACACCGGTATCCGGAAACTCTATATCACGACCGGGGTTCTTTCTTCCTTTGTCATTTGCCATCTCTCACCGGTCTCTTTTTCTTACTTTTAGCAGCACACTTTTGGGAACATGAAGAGAAACATCCGTCTGGACTCATTGGCCCCCGACCGCCAAGTCGCATCAAAAGGTATGTCAGTCAACTCTAGTCTGTTCCCGATATGATCTTCTCGAACTAACGACCAATGCAGACTGTCGTCTGTGCACCAAGCGACGCATCAAATGTGACCGGAGTATCCCGGGGTGTCGGAAATGCGCCAGTCGGGGTCTACGCTGTCCAGGATTTGACGTGTTGTCCTTAAAATGGGTACAAGGGGTGGCAAGTAGAGGCAAGTTTGCAGGCAGGACGCTTCCGGTGTCACCTCGATGCGAGTCCGAGAGGCAGGATGAGTTGGCAGGTACGCATAATGCTGGCAGCGATGGTGGAAGTGGGAGTAGTCAAGATCTTTGCGCCTTGACAGACGCAGGACCCTTGCCATTGGACTTCCCTACACATCTGCTTGACCCGATGAGTGGTCTCGGTCTGGTCAATCGGTGCTCTACGACAGTACTCTTCGACAATCTTCTCAATCATTTCCAGCTGGAAGTTGCATCTCAATTGCGATGGCTCGATAGCTCCGACAACCCGTGGCGACGCATCGTCTGGCCTCTGGCCCGACTCTCGAACTGCCTTCGCATGTCGATTCTCGGTCTAGCGGCTGCTCATTTGTCGGTGACTTCTGCTGGAGGTGATGGTACTGGGCCGCTGGCACTTCTGCAGGCGAACCGTGATCTGCGCGAAGCGAGTCTTCGGAATCTGAATACAAAAATACATTTTGAGTTGGATGGTGATCAGGTCGCGGGGCGCCAGCAGGATGGCTCGTCTCTGACCGAAATCCTTGCCACCATGCTCGTCCTGTGCTACGGGGAGATGCTCGTGCCCCATTCAACTGACTGGAGTCTTCATCTGCGCGCCTGCCGTGCGATCATTGATCGACGGAACCTGCGGAATCGGCAGAGAGAACCGCAGGACCCCGTTGCGAGGTTCCTGGTCATGGAAGTGGTCGATCTCGAGACATTTAGCGCCTTGACGAAATTCACGCAGGAACAGAGTCTTGCGGCCACGATACCAGCTCCTTCGTTGCTGGAGGGTCATTTCTGGACCTTCACGTCGCTGCTACGTGAGATCAATGCCGTCAAACGGCGTCGTTACGATCTGTTACAGAAAGGATACTGTTGGAACGATATTGTCAACCAGACTAGGGAGGTGGAGGATCCTGGCCTAACCTACATACCATACAGCACCT